TGTTCGAGGTATGACTTGCGCTTCACTCACTCTTCCTCCATCCTGGAGCATGCCACAAATGCAGCACAAACGCAAGCGTAAAGAACGCGTGCATGATTTGCGGGGTCACCTCTCCTGACAGCCCAGCCCAGTGCACTGGGCCTGCACATCATCAGCATAGCCGCAGCCATCCAGGATGCAGCCTGAGACGTGTCTGATGGACAATTTGGACAATTAAATGGTTGTTTTATGAATTGTTTACATGTTTTTACATTCCTCAGCAATGTCAAGCCACAGGGGTGACCACAGGTCAGATGTTCCCTTTACCAGCATCGATGGTATCCTTCCATTCGCGATTCAGTTGCTCTTGCTGTTCCGGCCTTCTGGTCTCCATGTGTTTTTGGTAGAATGGTCTTTCTCAAGTAGAGGGTCTACACCTCAAGGTAAGGAAGTGCTTCTTGAGAAGTGCCCTGCTAGCGGCTAGCGAGAGAAACCGCTGCCTTGGACCTCAACACACCCAGCGCAGCTACAGGATGCACAGGTAGGGCGAGGTGAGGTCGTGTAAAGACCCATCGACCAATTCCCTATACCACTTTTGGCGTTATCGTTTTTGTTCTTCCTTACCGTTTTACAGCACTTTGACTAACCGTAACAATTGTAGTAAAATGATGTAAAATGTAGTATACATGTGTGTGCGCGCACTGCATGCATGTGGTGTGTGGAACCTTGCAGACATGAAGACATTAGGCACAGTTCATTCCAGCTACACTCATGTGGTGGCCTGCCTACGGAAATATGTTAGGCTCTCTGTGTTATTGTTGTTGTTATCGTTTTCATGCCTGGTGAAAGTTGCATGCCTGGTGCAAGTTGGAAAGCCATGTGGCCCGACAATGCTGTAGCACAAGGCTACAGCGGTCCAAGCCCTCCCACCTCTGTCCAGTCCAAGCATATATACCCACCAAGAGCAGTCATGCATTGACCCTGACAATTTGGAACAGTAGGAATTGTTTGTGTGTGCACGCGTTTTCTTCACGCCACTTCTCGCATGTCAAGGGTTTTCCTCAAGAGTCGGGGGTGATTATTTTTCCTTATCGTCTTACAAGGGATTGAGCATGCTTCCAGAAAAAACGGACATGCATATACCCAATTTCTTACAGGGGGTTTTGTACTCTCTCAGCTGGACACCCTGACATCCGTGAAGCAGTCTTGTGTTCTCCAAGTGTCGTTCCGGGGGCAAGTTGGCCAAACGAATCACTTCCAACATGTCGAGCAAATACCTCAGCCCGCTCAGCAGTTTGGGTCATTCATGTGGGAAATGCGTCAGACCCAACTACAAAAAAAGGAGAGGACTCACCATCACCAGTAGCAGTACCTTGACCAGCCTCTATACGTAAGGCTGTGCAATGGACACTGGTTCTTTTCCAGTTTGCAAGTGATCCGTCAGGATGTTGAGGAACAAGAAATGCTTCAGTGCTTCCGTCAGACCTCGTTGGCCACCTTCGTTCCACTGTTCACTCCGAGTTGTCCTTCGGCTCGCGAAACGAGGCCTCGCACGAACCGCGGACTCCCTAGGCAAGGCGCTCGGTCCGATCTTGATAGCCAAAGGGCTCGTTGAAGATCTCATAGAGCACTGGCCCTCCGTGACGGAGAGAGGTCCGTGCATGAGTGAAAAAACCGCCCTGGCCACCACTGGTCGTTCTGTGGTTGTGGAATGAGACAGACTGATTGATTGCAGCCTATTGCCACCTCTTGATTTTCCTCAAGAGAGCCAGTGATCTAGCAAATAGGAGCAGATTCTTCCACATCCGCATCTTGGATTTGCAGAACCATCGGAACCCGGGAGAACCTCGGGGAAACAAATGGAAACATCGACAGCCCAGAAGATGGATTCGCCGTTCCGGAACGTCACGCATCTTTGAGCGAACAGAACTCTTTGCGAACCTGAGCACCGCTGTCACCGTCTCTGAAGAAGCGGCGATTCTTCCAACCAGAGCTGCTTAGCTACATTCAGTTGAGTGTTATAAAGGAACTCCTGAACTCCTATCCTACAGGCCTTTTCTGGGATCACCCAAAAAAATGTGAGAACCGTCCCATCAAATCATGTTCATATCAACTTCCATTCTTCCATTCCATCATTCCAAGTCGATGATGAACGCTTTTACAAGCGGAAAGCATCATTTCCTGTCCTGGTCCTTTCCTCTGACTTCAGAAATTCCATGCAGAACAGGTTTCAAATGGTTTCAATGTTGTTACCAGCAGCTTCTTGTTAGTAACTAATGCACTTGTTACTATAGTAGTGATGCCCTTGTTACGTTCGTAGCTTCTAAGCTCTGCACATCGACTCGCACCTGGCCTTTCCCCAAGACCTCATGCACTCGCCGCCAGCAATCGGCCGCTGCCGCCACGTCGGCCGCTCCGCTCAGGCGCCCCTGGCCATGGGGCGCATGGAGGGTGTCGTCGGTGGACTCGAAGAAGCACAGAACTCCTGAAATCAAACGGTCCAAAATGAGCAAAAGCACACAAAACCGGTAGATCCATGGTATATCCATGGTATACCTCCAACTATAGTGGATGAGGATGGTTAGCAATTCAACACCTTTAATCACGAAATATCACGAATTAGTACAACATCTTGGAACCCAACTGTTGCAGGTTTACGATGGTTTACTGGGACAACAAATTCCGAACTCGACAACGATGAACAAGAGTATGTCTGCAGTGTCAGTGTCTCAGGTCACTGCGACACAGTCCGAACAACAACAGACACACCATCCAACAACAGACACACCGTTTTCGGACACACCGATTCACTTGAAACACATCATACATCATCATCACATATCACTGTTTTTGCTCATCATCGTTTCCTACCCCTTTTGAAGTCTGGCATAGTCTGACGTGAAGAACTGAAGATACTGACATTCTCACTTCCTTCGATCGGCTTCGTCTTCCCAAACCGCTCGAACGGAGTCGACATGCTCCGATCGATGAAGACGCGGAGTCCACCCCTTTGGAAGGTCGAAGCCTGCAGGACTTGAGGTCTGGGTCTCACTAGGGAATGCACCCACTCACAAGCACAAGCAGTCTCTGCCGTACAAGCACACATTCACATGTGTTGAAAAGACGAACTGATAGATGTCAACTAGCCGTTCCAGGTTTCCTCCGGTCATGTTCTCCAGTGACCTCCCCCCCTGGGCCATGAAACGCAGTCCTCGACCCTCAAACTCTGCCAAGTATGATTGCAACTTCCTCAGCTTCCAGAGGAGACTGAAATCATCTGAAATCACTTGGGGGAGCGTCGATCGCCGATCCGTCGATCACCTCATTTTCCACACCAGTCGTTCGCCAATCACCGTCTCGAGGACTTGATTTGTCGGGGCACTTCTCTTCCCCCTCGAGCTCGGCAGCCTTTTGCTGCCGAAGGAAAACCGCTTCAGCGCTAAACCAAACACACCCAATGAATCCGCAATCCGCAAACGAGCCTGTGACGGCCACTGTGTCTTTTTTCGGATGTTAAAACATAAGCTATAAGTCAGTTTCCTATAGTGCTTCAGGGGCTGGTTAACATTTTTTCCATTCCGTGTTTCGGTGAAGGAAGTGACACCATTCCTGCGTCTGGAGTTCAGGTAAGCTGGAGTATATATTGCTATTCTTAACTCGTGGTTTGCCAGGTTGTAAATGCTCTTCCATCCAAACAAACACATTTCATACAGCTAGACTTGCAATATCATCTACACATCATCATTCTCACACACTCTGTGCTACAAAAAGCGCCCTTTTTCAGCTATGTTCAGCCATTGAAACATCCCTTGAAACTGCAGCCTCACTCTTTCATCACTTCCCAAACCCCTCCGCCCAGGCACAGTAGCGTCGCCTGGTCGATGGCCACGTTCACAGGCAAACGCACCGCCGTCACCTGGTGCCACTTCGCCTGACGAAGATCCTCGATGATGTAGTCGAAGCGATAGACACCTCGGTTGAGGGAGTGGAAGACCTTGACCTTGATGAGGTGGCGACAGGGTGCAAACAACGCTGACAGGGGGTCCTTTCACCACAGTCCTGGTTTGAACGTGAGAATGGTGTTGGCGAATTAGGGAGTCTGCAGCAACATCAACATACCCACTTCTACACTTCTTTGCGTAGCTGGACCCGACTTCAAGTACTCTAGAAAATGGGACATGACCCTGTCAAAAGAAGACAAATAACACATCTACTTGTACCCATTTCCGATGGTACTTTGAGTGTGTACAAACAAAACATCTCCCACGTAGAACTCCGCATCAAACACACTTCTCTCCGTTCTTCGCTTCCATGGCCAAACAGCGCCTGGGAGGAAGTTGCCGGCATTGGAACTGCCCTGCGTCGCGGGCAAATTCAGTCCCATCCCAGCGCAGCAGCTGCTCAGCGGTGGTGAGGGCCGATGAACATCGGCACAAATTGGTCGTTTCGGTGGCGGCCAGTTGTCATGGTTGGATGAGCGGCTTGTACAATTCTGTGGAAGTTAGGGCTAAGGCAGTATATGACAAGTATATGCAATGATACGGCAAGATGCCCTGGAGAGAACCTAAAGAACCCCAGTGAAGATCATGCAAGCACACAGCATGTGAAGATCATGGCCCCTCTACAGAGCTTCAGCTAAAACATGTTTTGTTCGATGACTTGCTATAGGGTGAGTGCCCATCTTCAGCTGCGACAGTGGCAAATCTGAAAAGACTCTTGAGGCAGTGCCACTGTTTAAACTATATAACTTAACTTAACTAAAATAGTTAGTGGACTAGTTAGTGGTGATGGAATGGAGTGTTTGCATCCTTCAGCGGAGTCCGTGTTGCGATTAGTCCGACATTGGGACTGATTCTGGGTCACCTTGAGACATAAACGACAGAGGAATCTCCATCCAGGCATTCAAGCTAATTGCACGCACAAGCTGCAGGAACCTACTACTCTTCCACTTTGCGCACAGCAAAATCATTCTTTCATGCAATCAACAAACCAATAGCAATCAACAAACTGCAGCCCTTTGCCTCTGGGAACGTGTTATAAGGCGTCCTTAGCGTCGCAAAAAGCGAGATGTGTTGATCTTCCCCCCCCCCAAGTGTCTTCACCCGAGATATGTGGAGCATCCAAGTTGGATGTCCTCTTGCAACAAAGAATTTGTTTGCTCTTCTTACTAGTAGCTTCTATAGCTGCTAGATTCTGAAGATACTCTCACCTCCGTTGGACCCTCCTCACAAAATACCTGATTAATCACGTCCCCGTGCATAGAGATGTTAAACCATTCTGGTAGGGAGAGTTCATGAATCAAATACATTAGACCCTATGGGCATGACGTGTGAAGTGGGTCTGATGTTTGTGTTTGCCCTAGGCTGAGAAGTTTGAATATAGGCACGAGATGGCACGCGTATAATAGGCTTATGTTTCTTTGGTATGACCTGCCATGAACACCTGAAACCCGAGTTCCTTTGTTTTTTCCCGAGGCTTCACCGGCTTCGCCCAAGCACTTCGCACCAGCACTGTCGCCCGTGCGCCGAACTCGACACCGTTCTTCTCGGCCCACGGCATCGTCTTGGGTCGTACGTCCTCGGGTGCGTCGCCAGATGCGTTGGATCTGAAGCATTCACATCGAGATGATCTGTAAACGCCCAGTCCTATAGTATTCACCTATTTGGGATGGTCAATTCGAAGAGTCATGCTTGGGACTGATTTGTGTATCCTTTAGATTCCTCATCCAGAAAATCCACCCATGCCATTTTGATGGGCAGAGTTCCCATCTCCAGTTCTGCAGTTCTGCCAAAGATTTACGTGGACTGTCTAAATTGATCCCTATTAGGATTTCAAGGAGGGGTTGGGCGGACCACAACAGGGTTAACCCTACCCATTTCCTATAGAGGAAATTCCAATGGGGATCTAATTTGTATATTCATTGACATTAACTTGATGAATGTTGATGAATGTTGATTGTAAGCCCCCCACGCCATGCATGGATTGTAAAACCTCTAAAAAGGCTTGCGGGGTCTTATGATCAACAGTCTGTATGCCATCCTCTTGTTACTAGTAGCAACTGCATCACTACAAGTAACAAGGGCACTATGTAATTACTAGTAACAAGAAGCTACTAGTAGCAATGCCCTTACTAGTAGCGATGCCATCTTCGAATCCTGATCCATGGCCGATCTCGCCTTCGTTTCAACGGGGCCGCGCCGCGCGGGCGGGTTCCGCGCGGGCGCGGAAGCGCTAGATGTCGTATTGCAGCCAAAGGATGGCGTGGCACGGGTGGCGTGTTAACGGGTGGCGGAAGAGGTCTGCGGGCCGTGTTGAAAGCTGAAAGATTCCATTGAGGTCTTCAAAGACCATCAAAGAAATGGTTGACCTGTGTTGACCGGGCTTTGTATTGTCAAACCCTTTAAGAGTAAAACATGTTTGTGCGGGATTCGCTGTTCAATGGTGGATGCCTCATCCCGTGAACCTTCCCCAGTCAACTTCGTTGCCACTTCGTTGCTTTGGGAGGTGCCAAAGATTTCTCACCCAAACACTCCATGTACACTGGAATATTTGCTTACATTGGGGTGGTTGAAGAGCGGTTAATGTCCCGAATGGGATCCACATATACACCGAACCTCAGGTTCGGTACGACTGGGCCCTCCTGGCGCCTACATCAACAGTCTCCAATCACCTAACCTGACACGGTACGACTGGATCCCTAGGGTGTATAACATGGTTTGTGTTACCATGTGCCAGTTTCTGACTCCAATCGCTTCCCCGAGAACCATGTGAGTGGGGTGGACGGCTGGTTTGCCGCTAGGGATCCTCAACTTCGCCCTCCATGGTTTGCCCCCGCCCTCAGTGGTCACCAAACAACTGGACTAAAATCAAAGTGATTCCAGAACAGCACCCAGAAACTCCTTTCTGACCCATCAGTACACTTCTATAGATCAAAAACAAGATCCTGAAGTACTTGGCACGAGGGACGAACTCGTCGCAGGCGCCTCCCACCGTCCACCGCGGACCGTTTTCGAATGCGGGTCACCAGCCGTACGGCGCCACGTCGAGTCGGGGAGCGAACGGGGACCGGGGAGCGAACGGAACGACCGTCCTCAATTGGGACGGTTCGGCTAAAACGGAGTGTCGAAGTGGGAGATGAGGATTTGCATGAGGAAACGTGTCTCAGGTGTGCAAGTGGAATTTGCATGTAATCCTCTGACATGCTACTATTGGTTGTATTTGAATGTTTTTGGTGGATTATGCTCTATACTTTGGACAACTTTGGACTGTCCCAGCAATGACATTAACAACTCAACACACCATGAGTCTTGGCAACACAAAGCACCTCAATGGATGTCAATTCCCTACGTACAAGTCTAGTCTGACCCATTAAAATCCTGGTCTTTGACCTCCTTATGGTTTTGTATGACCATCTCCCGTAAAAGAAGGTCGACTCCATTCGACTTGACTTCTAGGGCTGCTTGACTTCTTGACCTGCTTGACTTCTGCGGACTCCAGAGGGCTCCGAGTCGCAGGCGTCAACGAAGCCAAAAGGAGAACGCAGGTGTCAGCGATGGTGAGAAGTACCTTCCCAAAATTAGACGACACTAGGTGCTGGTGGGTTCCTGATCTTCAAGTTGGGGCAGAGATGATGAACTCTGGGGAACCCTGGTAGACCAGCGAAAGTGAATAGAATGGACTATAGAGCTCTCCAGGCTCAAAGCCGCAGAGCTCAGGGTGCACGAGACACCCAGGGTCGCTGGCTAGGCTTTCTTAGGCCTAGGTGCGACGTCCATCAAGTGATTTGGCTGCATCTCGGTCCTTGTGATGACGAGCCTTCATGTGACTTTGTCAGAGTCTTGCTCAACATGATCCACAAGAAGATTGAGGACCCTTGGAGATCTCGGTTGGTTGATCTAGTGGGTGCCCTTGGAACTTCTGACTTCATGGTTAGGTTTTCGGGGCTGTGCCTGCTGCAAGGGAAGGTGGTGTCTTTGGAAGGGAACATTGTGAAGCTTCATCCTCACCTTTTCCGGCCTGGCTTAGGTTTTGTGGAGATGCCACATGAGTTCTGGGATATCCATGTCCCACATTTGAGTTCGAGGGCGATTCGAGTGTGTGAAGGTGACGAGTCCTTCACCTTTTTCGGGAGGATCGAGTCCGAAAGTGGGAGTGTTTTCCACTTGGCTGAGGAGGTGTGTGTGATTCCGGCATCAAAATGGGATTGGGAGTCGCCGGTGAACTCCTTTCACCTGTTTTCCGGGTCTTTTGGTGGATGGTCACAAGCCATTGAAAGTATTTGTGAAGATGCTTCTTTCCCTCCTCTTGGACAACAAGTTTGCATTGACAGTGATCCGGTCACCTTGGACCTTTGGTCCCAAACAGGTTGGCAAGCCTCACCATCTGGGAAGGACTTCTTCCTCCCATCCGTGGAATCCGAGCAGTCATGTGGGAATCTGCACCTCTGTTGGTGATACTTCTTTGATTCATTAGGTGATCTTTCAATTGAACTCGGTTGGAACTCCCTCACCGCCATGCGTCTTTGGGGGCCCCCGTTCACCATTTCCAGATCTCTTCGTATACCACAGAGCTTTGGGCTGCAGTGGTTGCCATTTACAAGTGTACTGCTCCAACAGAAGTTTTCACGGACTGCCAAACGATTGTTAGCCAGATTGAAGAATTGTGTGCAGAAGGAGAACCTCGTGCAACGTGGTCTCATATGTCTCATCTGTCATGGTGGCAAGCGATTGGGAAGCGTTGGAAGGATTTGTTACAAAGCCATCCTTCGCCTCTTTCCCTGTCCCCTGTCCTGGATTCCTTCTCACCTGTTTGAACATCTCCCAGAGCAATACATTACACCTAGTATGGCCTTAGCTCAACATACTCTTGCTAGCGTTTCAACTGCCCGTTTACAAGCCTGGGCCTTTTGTTTGGACAGTGCGGAATCTTAATTCGGGGTTCACATGTGAAATCATATGTGTGGAGGATATCAAGCAGAATGCTTGGTATGCCAGACGAGACTCGCTCGCCGCGACGGGAAGAATAGAATAGACTATAGGAGTCGGAGGTCAATTTTTATCAGGGTTCAGGGCTCCGGGTGTCCACAGACATATTGCTTCGGCAATGGAACCTTGGACCTCTTCCTTGGAAAGATGTGGCCAGAAGTGTCTCGAGCATGTCCATCAGTCTATCCTGTTTGTGTGTCTGTCCGTTTGCCCGTCTCCCTCTCTCTCTCTCTCTCTCCTCACCTTCACTTCTGAACACTCAGCTGCGGTGAATTTGGCTGAATTTGAGGAACTCGCTCGGGCACGGCATGTGAAGCCAGCCGTTCGTGTGGCAGGGGACATTACTCGTGTCCTGGAAGAACTTAGAGGGATGAATGGTCTCCTCTGCAAACATTTACAACAATCAGTATTATACTCCTTCATAGTTGATTCTTCTTATCTCAAATTGAAAGGGATACATTGAGGGAAACCTATGCCTCCGAAGATTCGTACGAATCCGGCGACCTTTGAAATCTGCTGCAGGGGGTGGCTGTCAGTCAGTTCACTCGCAGTGTCGTGGCATAATCTGATCGGGAAGCTGGTGAGTATCTGCAGATCCAAGGAGAGAACATACCAGGGATGTGTAATATGTAGGGTTGCCCATTGGTGATCCCTTTGAAGAATCTGATAGAATCTGATCAACCCCCAAAAGACCCTTCGAAACATCCTTCGTTCTACCACCACACCGCTCACCATGTGGAGGACCCTCCACGTGTCTTGTGACGTCACATGGCCCTCCATGGGTGCGGGCATCACACGAGACTTGGCCGCCAGTTCACGGGCCGCCAGTCACACAAAGGCTCCTGAGGCAGGAAGGATCGAACGGCACGGATCGTTTCGAAAACGAAGCAGCATGATGTAGCGGTCACGATGTGACCGAGTGGGCGAACTGAGTAGTCTTCCTTAGCGGAATTACTAAGTAATCTAATTCTTTCGAGTTGATCTTGGGAGATACCCTTTGGATCTTGCTGCTCCCTCTGGCTACTGTGGGCTCTGGTTTGGGAGCTTTGAATTTTGATCATTTGGAGGCTCAGTGGCTCAACATGGCTCAACGTACCTGCAGCAGCTTGCCCCTGAGTTGCTTGTGCTGGATCTTGATTGATCAACCCAAAAACGGATCTCAGTACCAAACAAGGCTGCCGGCCCCAACATGCCGGGAGCTTTGGGATCGAATGCTGCCAGGCGGGAACTCGCTCGATCGCAGCTGAATTCAAAAAGGACGCCTGCTGATTTCTGACCATATGAGAATTCCAGAAGGGCGCGGTTGACGACAGGACAGAACACTTGTTATCAAAGCTCGATGGCTATATAGTATGAATTGTTGCGCGATCGTCTACTGTGTAGTTGCACGCTTCAGCGAGATATTATGCTGCCCGAGTGGGCTTGCATTATTAGCATTTTGTGCTTCTCCTTGCTCTCCTTTTCTTCCTCTTCCACAAAGAGAAAGATACAGGGAAAAAGGACAATTAAACAAAAAATTGCCCGCGCCTGCCGCCTGCACCTGTCCTGCTTGCCTACCCGGCCCGCTCTTAGGCGTAAGCCTTGAAATCGGGCCGGAAATGCTGGCTTAGATAAGCCAGGGAGGAGTGCAGGTCAGAATGACAAGCACAAATCAAAGAAATGTTCCGACAGCCGTTTTTAGCCCGAAAACAGGTGCGAGGTTTTGCACGGGCAAAAACAATTGCTCTAAATTGCTCATGGAATCCCAGGGTGTGTAAATATGTATGCACCGCTGTCACCGTCGTCTTTCTGTTAATGTTAATGCTTGAGTCGGCTAAAAATGTATCATGGTCAGCGGGTGTTTGTTTTCACGATGTTTGCACAACTCTATCACAACGATATTGCCCTTGCAAAAGATGTATCGAATTGCCATGAATAATTTGTTACTGTAGATCTGTTGAGGCATCTCATTTGAGAATTGGATGCTGATCCAACCCCGTGGGACTCCAGGCCCAATCCCGTCTTCCTCACACCACTCAGAGGGTGTGGGCCTCCGCCCCCCCCCCTTCCCGGTCCTCGAGGTCCACCGGCTCGTCCGGATACTTCGAGTGAAAAAGCTCCAGGACCTGCGAGCATCGCACCGAGCTCCAGCGCCCCCAACACCCTGCGTGGTCGCTTCGTCCTGCGTTTCCGGTCGGTTCTTTCGTCCAGCCGAATCGAAGGTGTCGGTGGATCTGAAAGATCGAAAAGAACGTGGACCTGAAGGTGTCGAGGCGTGGACCTGAACGTGTTGTTTCATCCAAACTCTTGACTAGCAATGTGGAATGCCTGAACCAAGCGATTCAAAGGGTTCTTCCGCGGGGCAGCAGGTTATTATGATGTTGTTCGGGATCTAGATGTTTTGTGTATTTCCCAAACACTCCATGTATGCCATATATGCCGATCAGTTGGGGTGGTGCCAGGGGGGTCAATGTAGGCATATACTATATGGCATACACGGAGTGTCTGGATCTTTTTCAGCAACAAGGTGTACCACTCCAATCAACCGCGCGAGGGTCGTTCATCCAAGAAACCAGCACCGACAGACGTGGAAAACCGGGCGAAGGTCGAAAAGCCCAGTCGACAGCTGCTCAGAAGGTTCTAAGATTCCTGGAAAAACAACGCCACTCACTTCCTACACATGTGAACTGCTTTAAAGCAATCAATTGCGAGCATTTTCCTGTCAGTATGATTCATGTTGGATATGTCATTTTGGTCAAGTCGGATGGGCCAATCAAGAGTTTGGTAGGAAGGGGGTATTTATGAACTCCAAATAACAAATATTTCCATACAGCGTATATCTATACTATGACCCTGACATCCCCAACAACCATGTTTTTTACAGAACAAGACTCGTGGAATACTAAGCAACCATTCTTTCAATGGTCGGATGGGCCGGCTAGGGATTATGATCACATGGATGTCGCACCGCATCCCGGGCAGCGTGCGGACTCGGCGGCGGACTCGCGCCACGCAGCTGTCGCCATGCGCATTCGGGCCTTCCGGAGCCTTTTCTTCATGTGCACAGCATCCCCTCGACCGTCCCAGAAGGGCAGGATGTATTCCTGAGCGCGGCAAGAAGCGGCAAGAAGCGTTTTTTTTTCCCACGTGGTCCACGAAGAATCAGCGACTGGTCCTGAAACGTCTCAGTTGAGAGCGTGACGTGTGTAGCTATGTGAAGATTTCAAGAAGCCTGTCACCGAAGACCAGGTGGGAAAGTGAAACAATGATCTTCATTCTTCGTTCAATGAATGACACAGGTGGGCAAGGTGAACGACTTGTATGAAGTATATGCACGTTGCCCTTTTCATGGACTATTTCATATGCTGCATAGCATGATGCAAAAAGAACGGGCAAGACGTCCGAAACAAAAACATCAACACACTGGAGGACTTCGGGTTTTTGGAAGACCATCTTCCCATCTGGATAATGTCCATTGGGGTCCCCGAGCATCATCAGTGGAAGCTACTACTTCCCGGTGGTTCCAGCCCAAGCATCATTGCCGTGCTGCTTGCAGAAGTCGGTCCAATTGTAGATCCCTCGCGACACGTGACACGTGACACGACAGGCAAAGCCTGTCGACCGAAGTGGAAGGACGTCCTTCTCTTGGGAAGCGCAGGATTCAAGATCTCGGCTACATGATAGAAGTGATCTACGGCAATGGCAACTAGTGCAGTTAGGTGATCAAGATCCCACTGGCAGTGAGTTGGTGTCTTACTGTCATAGTGAGGTGTTCAACATCCTACTCACAACCAGGATAGAAGCCACTCGTCACTAGATTTCAGGGAAAGACCATTGTTCACCTATATTTGGGAACACAAGTCGTTTGCGAGCTAGACACATGAGCATCTCTAGAACTCAAAACATGGTCCCAAACACTGTCCAAACGTCCGATCGAGGCTCCACATCTTCATCTCCGGATTCAACATCTGGTGTTTAAGAGCGCATGACCTCCACCTACCAACCTACTAGCCATGGCCTCCACCCTGGCGAACGCCTCCCACCCCATATTCTGGCCCCTGAGGGCAGCCCGTCTCTTCGCTCCTGGCCTTCCAGCTCGCTAATCTCAATGGCACCAGCCTGGAGTTCCGAAAAAAGAAGCGCTGAGGAACTCCAGATCGGCACAGAGATGTGTCGCCCAAATTGGAGGTCAATATCGAAGACTGAGCACTCACCAAATCCATGACACTATAATTTGATGTGACTTTAAAGATGTTGTAAGGCTTAACAAGTGGCTTAGCACTGTTCGACTGAGTTAGTAAAAACCCTTCCGAAGCACATCCTCATCACAAAACACCTAATTATATATACGCACGCCCTTCTGACCATGTTGATACCAACGCCCTTGGGGGTTAGGGTTGACACCCTTGTTTCCGTTGTCTACTGCTCCGCTCTTTCGCACCTTCTGAGCCGACCAGGTGCAGTTCTTCTCCCCAGTGGGCCTGGCGAACGGGCAAAGACGAAGAGGTTTGATTTGATTTGGGATTCTAATTCGTTGGATGAAACATGTCTTGCTTGGGTAGTTGGATGTTGATATCATCTCATCCTCAGACCAGCTTCAAAAAAAGAAGTCCCGCCCGCGACATCGGTCACGTCGTGGCCCGGGTTGGGACACTGAAAACACCCAGGTCACGTCGTGGTTTCGGTGGCGGCACCATGTCATGTCCAAACAGCATGCACCAAAGAGTTCCTGTGCCAGGCTGTGTCTATAGACATACGTACAACACAAAAGAAAAGCGCAAATGCATCCAAGGCGCCACACAAGTGCGCCACTTGAAATAAAGAGGTTTGACCCGGTTCAAAGGGTTGTTTAAGCCAGAGAGGGCTTCCTATCTCGTTGACCACTGGCCGCTGAAGCCACAGCTGCATGGGAGTCCATTGTCGAAGCCAATGCGATGACATTCACAGAACTTGGCATGACCATGACTCTTTTGCAACTGGAGGCTTGAACGTTTTTGTCAAACGGGTACCCGTTTGACGATGTTTGCCCAGTGTTTTTCCTTATCTCAAAACGGGTGGGTACCAACTCTGTATTACCTCTCCAACTGCATGCCGTTCTTTTCTTTGTTCTGGAGTTTGTTCGAGCAATTTCGAAACGGAGGACCACCTGAACCTCCCCAGACCACTATAAACGGAGGACCACCAGGCGAACGAGGGGTCCACAAGACCAACCAAACGTGACATTCGACCGCAGGAGACGAAGTCAAGCGCCTGTCACACCTCCCTCCTGAAGGACGAATGAACGGTCAGCGATGAGGTGGAACAGTCTACGTCTCAGTACGCTGAGTACAGCAGGGCACCCATCCTTTAAGACGCTGCAGCTACTTGCAGGTGTGGGGGAAAGAAAACACGGCTCACGGCTGCGGGTTTTGACCTACGATCCGAACACAGCACGACCGGCGCCGATCCGTCTAGCGTGCTCCGTGCCTTCTCTACGTCCCGGACCGATGTCTGATGACACCCGGGTGCGAAGAGGGGTGAACCATGTTGGTTGTACCATGGTGGTAACGTGACAATCGGTTTGACCTACCAAAATTACTAGAAAGGTGGAGGGTTGAATTCTCGGATCTCCTGGAAAACACGATGAAACCTTATAAAATGCAACCTTGGTGGAGCTACCCGGAAGGTCAACCTACATTTTGGACCATCGGGCTCCAGGTTTGGACCGCCAATTGAATGGTCTCCACATGTCCCAACATCCGGCCCAGCGTTGTTTGGCAACACTCTTCGAACGACTTCAAGAACGACTTGCTCGCAATCCATTCCGGGCGATGGGTCAAACGATGATCGGATGGTCATTTGGACGACTTCTTGATGCTCCCAAGCACAGTGTGGTCACACGGTCAAGCCGGGCTTCTTACCGGCAAAAACGGGGTTTTTAGAGCCTCAAGGTCTTGAGTCGGTCCGTGTCGACACGCGGTGCGTCCCCGGACCTCGGCGTGGCACGAACGGCTTGGCGGAAAAAAGGAGTGTGCCAACGTGCCAACGGTCCAACAAGACCACTCTTTGGTCTCTAGCTGAACAATAGTACAATTTACTTTTGATCTGTTCGTTTGTTCTCCCCAAACAATGAAAAGGTATGCCCATGCCGTTGCAAATACATCCTGCAAGTGGGGCGTCAATGAAAAGCTCTATTTGGACTCTTTGGGGCCTTTGAGGGGGCGTTCACGCGCTCACTTCGTCCTCCTTTCACTTCCCCCGCTCTGGCCCGCTCTCCTGGCATCAAATGCTTGCAATGCTTACCCTTGGCCACCAAAGGTGTGGTAGGGCACTCCCCAGGCAGAGAATACCAAACCTCGACACGGGCGCCAAAGGAAGAACGGTTTCTCCACCGGTCGGCCATTCAGGCTGTGAACTGGGTTTCACACAAAATGCTGTGAAAAAGAGCTCTTCTAGAGTTACTAATACTAATTATATAAATGCTCCTTTTGATGTGTGTCTTTTCTCAATTTTGAAAGACCTTGCGACTTGACCATGGATTGCTTTTAATTTTCATGTCTCCGTGTCCACTTGTTCAAGCTTTGCACTTTTTCCATGCAGGGCCCTCCTCCACAAATCTCCACCTGTCCACTGGAACCTCCGGGTGGCAGCCGTATATGTCCCCCCTCCTTCCCCGAAGAAGCCGACTGATGCGACTCACAAGGAAGAAGGAAATGGATCTCAAGAGGTGTCTCTTGTGGAGTCGACCACCCCATGAAGACCTAGGAAGCTATAGATCGGTGGACAGCGGTATCACCGACTAGGCTACTAGCCAATAGGCGGGCGGGTTCATGCCCACCTGTTCAGCTAAATGGATCAGTGTGGCATGCTTGATTCTGATGAGCACCAGTCTGCTAGGAGTTATACCATGTCTTCTGTCGTTCTGAAGCTTGGCTGGGCTCCAACGTGTCTCCACTTGTTCATAGTTCATAGGAAAAACATGGAAAAACACGTCAATCACCAACACAGCCAGCATCAGGAACTGCCCACATCATCTATTAAAAAATGCATTGTCATTGCCACCCTTGAAGATTGTTGGTGTAGGTCACGAACCATGGTGTATTAAAACGCTTTCCGTGGCATATATACCTTTGGACATTGAACAGAGTATACTGTGCCACACTTGGTCGGGGATGTCCCTCAGACCAACCTCCTTTCACCGCCCTCAGTCGTGCAGCCCAGAGACTGCGCCAGGATAGACAGACCTTGGCAGCACGCATTGCCCAAATCACTTCACAGATCTTTAACGTTTTGTTCGCTTGGATCTTGGGCTGCTTGGGCTGTGTCTGCAAACAAACTCTCGATAGTCCAGCGACACCCCGAAGATCTCGCAAGCAGCGATCTGTTTCGCACTTGGATCGAACCCGTATCACCTGTGCCACCAGCTGGTGGGCTCTGCATTCCTAAAAATCCCTGAGCCAAGCTGTGTGCAGATTCACCAAATGAGTGAAACAATTGACAGCCATGTGTGCCTCGCTGTCAAGAGGGTTGGAGAAATAGACCCCAAAGTGGCGCATACGAACTCAAAGACTTCCCATTATGCCATTACCTTCCGGATGTTTTTGTATAGGAATCACCCTGAATGCGCATTTCGACAACAGATGACAATCAAAGAGCCTCGAAAAATCTCAGCTTCGAAGACCGGAAAACAGGACGGTCTCGGAAGGGGGCGCGGCGCAAGCGCCTACTCCCTGTGTTTTCATCGCCATCCAACCACCTCTCCTCCTCAATGTCCTCAACGGCTAGGGACGTGGTGTTGCCACAAACAGATCCCGATGTCAAATGCCAAGGGTCACAACTTCGTACTGGCAGCCCACGTTGAAGCCTCGGTCGTCGGGTCAGTGTGAACCCCCAGAGCCCTGTTCCAGGGCCCTGTTCGGCGGGCAAAGACCGTCGAACAGCAGAATAACACGTATCTGAGATAGTCTTTGAGAGAAGATGACTATCAAGGCCAAGAAAAAGACTGGCAACTGTATATAATTCGTAACTGAGTCCATTTTCGATGTAATTGAATTGGTTGGCTTGGTCTGAGGTTTGAAACCTCTGCCAGACTCACCCGAAACCAACAGAATTCTTCGGACCGAGCAAAAATAGACCAAGCGCGCGGCAGGCCACGCTGCCTGACGCTCACGGTCAGGCGGATTGGGTGAATGTGAACTGATGGATCCGAGAATGATGGATCCAGGCCAGCCAAGTTGCCATGCTGGGCATAGTCCCCGCCACATGCTGGGCTGGTGCACATCCCCTTGTCGTAGGCCTTTGTTCACGGTAGGAAAAAGGCAGTCAGTAGGCTGAGGATCTGAGCAACATCGCCATAGCATTGACAGTGGATGATGATGATGATGATGATGATGATGATGATGATGATGATGATTAGTATATAAAGGCCTTTCTCAAACATCTTAACATCTTTTACTGTTATAATATGTTGTATATAGTTGTAGTGGGACACACCTTACTAATAGCTCACCCATTGAAGGTCACACCACAAGTGAAATAGATTCTGAGTGATGCATGGTGCAAAATTGATGTGCACAATTGGCAACCGTCAAACAAGTAGCCAACCCACCAAACCCCTCACAACAACAAGGATCGGTCTTCACATGTCTTGACCCCGTCATGTCCTCATCCGTTCTTCTCTCCAACATATAACAACAACCGCTTCGATGGCGTGCCCCCCGCCCAGGGAAATTCGGCAGAAATCCACCATCACCAGAAGATCTACCAGCATCACTATATACCAGCACCTTCAAAGGGGTCACCGGAAGGCCCTGCTTGGGGATCTCCACACCCCATGAAGGTCCAGATAGCCACGAATTACCCCAATCCACCCACATCCCTGGGACCCCCAAAAAACGGATCCACATCCTTCGTGGAACACGAAACGACCCCTCTGCGACGGGCACGAACCTCCGCGCGGGGTCCTCCGGTCGGTGGCCCGCCGTCGGTCCGTTGCTGTCGCAGATACCCAGAACTGAGAGAAGTTGTGGTTGAACTTCTCCGGTGTCTTCATGCTGACCTTGTAACCTAGGTGGCTTTTGTCGGTACCAAACGGCGTGGTTAAAACCACGGGCGGCGGAAGGGACGGATCTGATCAGCTGGGTGGATGAGGCTGGAGGGACGGATCTGATCAGCTGGGTCATGCTGGGTCGGGCGGGTGTACCATCCACTTCGGCGCTTTATGGCGCCAATGGCCAAAAGGGATCCAAAGGGCCCCTGGGGGCTGAATCAAATAAGCTTCTCTATCTAACAGGACTTCAGAACATTTATATACGGTGACGAAGCAGAAAAGGAGGATGGACCGATCTGCTGCTTTTGTTTCGCTACCCGTTCCACCGGTCTGTCAGACCTTCCATCCGGGGGCACTGCTCCGTCCGCCGTCCCGACGTCCGTCCGTCGCAGCGAGGACCCCGGAGCGACGAGGAGCGCAAGATCCGAGTGATGTTGTAGTGCCTCGACCGACCGCTCGGGACCGATGCGACGCCTGAGCCGAGAAGATAGAGCGGTATAACCCGCGCCGGCCAAATTCTTCCATACCCGACCCGAGCGTGACTGGTGTTGGGAAGCGGATTCCGAAGTGGATTCCGCAACATCGAATCCATGGTGTCGTTGGAGGTTTCGCGAAGCCTCCCTTTCTTCCAAACGTTCCTGGTCTGTTCCATGCGTGCGATGGATTCACAAAAACCGTTTATATATCGATAAGATTCGATAAGCAAGTACACGGGTGTAACCATCCCTGGCTTTCGTCATCATCCCTGCGGAACGGCGTGGGTGTGAAAGCACCATCGGCGAACTCGGCAGCTCTGGCTTGTAGCATCTTGCAACATCTTGCAGCTATATATTCCAATAACCATTGTTTCAATTGCCAACTGGTCAACGGTTCGTTAATATTATGATCTTTGAAGGCTACAGTGTATAGGTCTACGTTTATGATACACCCATGGGCCCATTTGGTCATGCAAAAGTTGGTCATACCGGAGTCATACGGCCTTGGGATATTTTGTGGAACCTACCCTGTCCACCTTCGCACTAATCGAACACGCCACTGGAGAAAATGAAAGGGGATCAACAAGAGGTGTCCAACAACAGCTACACACCCTCTCGAGGCGCTGGAGCCTGAAGAGCTTGCAAGCTTCTTTTGATCACAGACTTGAACTGACCTGATTTCACTTGTGTTTTTTGAAGTGACAAGAACCAACTGTAACTATATAGCTTTCGCACGCTTTCGCCAGCTTTGGCGACCTCCATCTCGGCGCAAACAAAAACACGTTGCCTGGGGCATTGTGCAAAGACCACCTCATGCTCCAGGTACCACATCACTCCAGCCCTTAGTTTTCAGCGGACGCAGGAACCGATGACAGGCCCCACTGGCAATGGCGATGTCGGTGTTGGGGGTGAACCGTTTGCCAAACGTCATCAGTCCGCTTCAATTGGGTGGAGTATGGTCCTGCTCAATGGGCTAAAAAAACACAAACAAAGGGGTCTGGGTTCCGGGTTTTGTGACATGTGGCACTTGATTCTATAGCAGTGTCTGCATATGTCTGCATGGCTCTGGAAAGAACAAGGACGGAGAGACAAAGTCAGAGGTGAAAGAGTAGTATCTCTGTTGGTCAAGTCGCATCCCTGTCCAACATAAGCTAGCGGCCTGAGGTAGCATAAGCTAGCACTGCCTACTTGACTTCCGGTGACTGAACTTTCTTCTCATCATTATTCTTTTCTTCGGATCTGCAAATCTAGCCCAGCGGGTGAGTCTGCACTTGTAAGCTGAGCTGGGTGGCAAGTTGGCAGCATTCACGTTCTGGAAGTCCTGAACACGCGCGGATCAAGAATGGCAGCATCCCCAGGCAGGTCGTAAGACCATTCAGGTCGACAGAATGGATACACTTCCCCATGCGTAGTCACATTGGTCATCAGAATTGCTTGCATGAACATGTCTCCGCAAAGAGAAAACACGTGTCCCACATTCTATTGGCAAATGACCATGGATGATTCAGTTGGCAGAAAGGCCTCCCCCTCCTTTTGGTCCAAGCTGTTCAAAAAAAACTCTTCGAAGAAATGCTGCAAAGGCTCGTAGTCATTGTCGCTCTGGGCGCGGTACATGTAGAAGGTGGTCATTTCCTGGGCCAAAAAGAAGCGGCCGGCGATTTTGGCACCGAAGCACCTCTTCCAGGGTGAGGCAAGCATGGCTTACCTGACCTGCCTCAGGCCTTGCCCATCGAACAGTCCGCCTGCCGGTGTCGGACCGTCGCCGCTCCAACCGTCCGGCGATTTTCGGGGCGTTCGGTGGCCTGTTGTGCATCTTGGGTCGGGCATCTCTAAAACATGCCAGAAGGGGAGTTACTACAGGATATGATGGACATTCTGTAGATCATAGACATTTGGAGATTCCTCAAATATTCTGGATGACTCACTCAGCATGTTAAACGAGAAAAGACTGTGGCGTTCTAGCAAACGAAGCAAGCGCAAAGGCTGGTGGTTGACGCACATTGTCCCACCACCTTTGGATCTTGTTTTCATGAAACCCCTGATGTCCCTACTTGCATAAGGATCAATGCCTGACTATACATGAAGAGTTCTCTGATATGTGAGCTACCCAGCTAAAGAACCATAAAGAACACCCCCCTGGAGCCTGACCAAGGAGTCCATCACCTGGTGCCCACGTCCACATCCCTCACTTCTGATCCAAACATGATAATGTTCTGATAACTTCATCAGAAAACATCCACCAGGCTGCCCATGCCATGCAATGTAGCCTTCAAACAACAAATAAAACACCCGTCGCGGCGGCTCAACACGCCCCATTTGTCACGCACGAGCTGCTCGGGTGACGGCCGTGGTGGTTTCGGAGGTGGATGGAAGGTCGTTCGACTCCATCAGCAAACCTGAGCGACTCGACAGCGACTCGATGCAACCAGAAAGTCATGAAAGATGATGAACCACGAGTCACATCCATCGGGCCTGGGTGGTGTGGCTCGTCCCATCCGTCGGGGCCGGTTGTTGGGGTGTGTTGACAGGGGCACCCCCCGACGTCCGCCCTCGACCGAGGAATAAAGTCGGAACATTCGGCAGCCCTATCCTCCAGGTGACTCCTGGAAGGTTCCCAAATCCATGCTCTTCTTGGAACAAATCAATGGATTCTTAAGATGTGAAACATATCCTAGACACTCGATGTATGCCATATATGCCTACATTGACCCCCAAACCACCCCAACGTATATATGGCATACATGGAGTGTCTGGGTATTGAAACATGCTTTCTAAAATCGCATGTCCCTGTGATTCTTCTCTATCTGTTGCTATACTGCTTTGGTGCACGTTTGGGCGGTACTATGCAACACACACAAGCACAAAGGAGCACCTAACTCATTGAACACTTCGAATGTTCACTGGTCCAACTGTCCACTGACAGCCTGGATGATGTAATGATTTGGGCGGAGATTTTCTCAGACCACTCATCGGACGGAGCTCGTCTCCTCATCGCCCGGTACCTTTTCATGGAAGGACTCTTCTCCAAAAGCCACTGGAATGGACTGTCCACAACCAGATCCACCTGCCCAAACACAAAAGGTGGGACCCGAATCCGGAGGGGTCTGGGGAGTCTCTTATGGAGGCGTCTGAGGGTCGAAGCGGTTTTGAGGGACCAGTTGGGCTCACGGAGCGGGGTGGAATCACCAGATCCGACGGTGCGTTGCGTCACGTTGGACTCCGCACAACCGGACGGTCGCGGTCCGCTTGGAAGGGTCTCTTTGGGGGGCATGACATGGTTCCGAACATGATTAAATGGTTCCCTGGTCCTGTACCTGGTTGATTTTGGAAGGTCAAGTGCCCGCCCCGGGGGTTTGAAGCTCGTGCCTGTGCAAGGGCCTCTGTCGTCGTGGCGCTCGGTTTGAACGGCCCAACCCACGTCCCGACATTCAGCCATACGAGCGGCTCGTGTTGGATGAAGTCGTCAGGGCGGGCAACTTGGAGGTCATCCAGAGAACGGCCAACCTGAGGACCGGTCGGAGCGACCATCAGCAACCGTTTCGCCGGTTCGTCCTGGAACACGTTCTTCACTCCAGATCAATGGAAAAACCCGGGTTCTGAGACTCCGATTTGGACCTGGACTGAGATGAAGCCTCCAATCTGAAGCCTTGAAGAGCACGCGCGTAGCATGTTTTTCAGGCAAACAAACCATCGCCACGGTTGGCCGAAACGGGCGATATATATACCAGCACAAACATGTTCGGGGAGGGTGATATGTGTACAATTAGCTATATACCAGCACCTGATTCTATATGGTCTCCTCTGCTGGCTGACTTGGGGGATTTCGGCAAATGGTGACCTGTTAAAAAGTCGGGTGCTGTAAAAAAAAATCCATGTCACAGCAAAGGTTCCATGACAAAAACCAGTCTGTTATATGACAAAAATGAGGTTCCTGTCCCAGACACTCCATGTCCATGGGACTGGCATATATGCCCACATTGACCCCCAAAACCGCCCCAACTGATCGGCATATGGCAGTCCCATTAGTCGTGTCTGGGTGTTACATTCAACAGTCTGTTATGTTGTATGTTGACTGTGTATTTGGCAGAACGCCCCACTCGGTCGCTCCGCCCCACCGTTTGACTCACTGATCGCCCCACCTTCGTTTGACTCACTGATCGCCCCAACGGACTCATCAGGTCACATGGACATGACCAAAAACAACCACACGCTCTACTTCAAGGATGTCTCCTGATCTTTCCTTGGCAATTGAAAGTCTTTGAACATGAGCAACTTGGAACTTCTCCCCAATTTCCCAAATGGCCTTTCAACATGCGTCTTTAAGAATGTCTTCATTACCTAGCTGGGTATCAACGAACACAAAAAACGTGCATATCCCTGAGCGATCACCAATCGGTTCAATCCTTCGCTTGGGCGATCCCAAGTGTCTCACCCAGACCATGGATATATTACCATCGATGTATGGCCTATTGACCTGCATTTCGGTGGTTTCAGGCATCTAATTTAATTACAATTAATAACATTATATTCCGTACAAATGGCTGATCTGGGCATGTCTAGGCGTGTATCGAGCCAGTGCGACATCTCGAAAGGTCCGGTCCAAGGTACCCAGCCAAGAGCACCGGCCAAAGCCACACCCAGCGCCGTGGAGGAGAACGATCATTGTTCTCCTCGGGGGTTTTCGGGAGACCGTCGGCAGCAGACGGTCTTTGCGACCGTCTCGTGGCGAGTGTCGGTGAGAAGAACAGAATTCGAGATTTCGGTCATGGTGTTCTGTTCTCCTGGTGGTTTGTGAACATCAAAGAACCACGTAGGAGCAGTGCCACGTAGGTTCTTTGACATCTGGAACCATCACGACCTACTGCTGGGATCAAGTCAGACCCAGGAGTGAATTCCACGGTGACTTCGAACGATGGTGCTCTCTTGCTCTGTGAGAACGATCTCATGCGGCCAAGGTCACTTTACATGTTAATAGGGTATAATAGGGTCTCTATAACTAACCCTAGGGATCCAGTCGTACCCTCTCAGGTTCGGTACGACTGGACCCTGCAAACCTACATAGCAGTGCCTCCGTCCTCACCGTACCTGAGAAGGCACGACTGGATCCCTAGGTAATCAATGGACCTGCAGTGCTCAATGGACCCAAGAAATCAGTTTGCTTGCACCGAACAGCAAGTGTGTGACAACAAATCCTCGATGAGGGTAAACCTGTGTGACACCAAGCAGCTAAAACAGAGAGGGTAAACCTGAATACCAAGCAGCTAAACAGCACGATCACATTGAAATTGTTCTTGTCGTGCCAAACAATTAAAAGTCAGCAACACCCAGTATAAAGAAACGGATGTCACTATTCTTTTCCCCCTCTCCCTTTAGTAGGGGTAGCGGTACTTGTTATACTAGCGCATGGATTACCTATATAACTACTGAGAGCGCAATCATTGTCATGAGGAATTCACCCTATACGGCTACAAGTTGCCTACACTACACAAACGCGCGGTCTGGGGGGAGTGCTGCGCGAGACTCAGGTAACCACCTACCCAGTTCCCGCCTCTTGAACATTGTAATATATGTATGAACGAAGGGGTTCTGTTCTTGATTCTCTAAATTAATCGGTTGTTCTTGATGCAATCCAGCAAGTAGACTCTATCTGACCCCTATGGAAACGCAAAAAGGAAAACATAACGACTTGACACAAGACCAAACGACTTAGCACAACAACATGTAATTATCCCAGTTGTGCTCCTGCATAGTGACATCATTGAGATCCCTTTGAAAAAAACAACACCCCGATGTAAAAGCTCCAGTCCCATGTTTCGCCTGTGGCTCTGCCCTTCGCGACCCAAACGCCACCAGTCAACACGTTCCCGCTGCCTCCAGCAGTCGAGCCGTCTCAGGCGCTTCAGGGTCCGTCTCCATTGGGTGAGCGCCCCACCGGTGCGGTGCGGCCGCTTGGAGCGTGGAGAAAAGCGGAGGTTGAGCGCCCCACCGCGCCGTCTGATCGTAGCTGATGGGTTCTGCTTCTCACTGTCTTCTTGATTCTTTTTCAATGCTCAAGCTAGCATTATTATGTGACCACTATACACATCACGTCACAGATCTGTGACCTTTTGTACTGAAGATGACCTAGCATCACTAATGATGTTACACATCACTACACATCACTGATGCTAAGATGACCTGAATGGTTTCTGATACCCATGTTTTTCTGAAGACTTTGATGTTGTTGAAAGGCAGGTTCCATGGAACGAACCGCGAGCGAACGCCCGACTCATCGAACCACCCCTTTGAGCAGCTACTGGCAGCATCGAAAGTCAAATCACAGGAAGCTCGTTCCTTTTCTTCAGCTCAAAGATGGCCGTATCGACAAAGCGTTGACATCACCGAGGGTTCGCTCGGCAAACGCCCTTTTCCATCGGAGGAAGGATCCCGTCGCATCGTCGCTCACCTCCGCAACGCGATTTCAGTGAGGGCGCCGCGCTGAAGCGATCATCCCAAAACGATAGAAACATGATGAAACATGCATCCAAATCTGGTGCAGAACAATTGAACAGCCACTTTCTCCTAAATTTCATGACATCAATGGTGTTGCTATTCCTATCCGCAATGGACAGCAAACAGTACGTCCAGCATTCCGGTGTAGCATGGTTCGGCCTTGCCGACCTTAGCTGTAAATGAAACTCAAGTATTTTTTTTTGACACAGCTGTGCATTCTCCTTCATTCCTCTTGCAGACCTTTGCTGTCTCTACCATGACATCTTATGCGTATTCCTTTGAATTCGTTCTGCCTTTTTGGGGGGAAGGCAGCCCCACCTGGCCCACCAGCGCCGCACCGCGCCGCGCCGCCTCGCTCGTGAACCCGCGGCCTGTCGCGAGGCATCGAAGCTACCAGCCGCGGCAAATCGGCCAGGTATGGAGCACCGTGCAGCGGTCCTCGTCCAAGATGTAGATCCTCGGAACCGTGCCGCTGGCACGACCGGGTCGTAGAAGGTCGATATACCCAGAGCACCCTACTCAGTGGCCACGATGTGGCGCGTGTGATTTGGTTGGGTGTTTCTTTGTGTTGCGGTGATGTTGCTTAGTGAGTAGCATTATATATGTCTGCCAGTTGAATCAAATAGCTCAACAGTCCGCTATCGAAAGAAGCAAAACAAGTGACCGTCAAGTGACGACATCTCTCTCACGTTCTCCAATTCACCCGCAAGTGGTTGCTGTCTTAGTAATGCTCCTCCAACGTGGGACACCCACGAACAAACCGAACGCGAAGTTGAGACCCGACACCTACGTCACCTCGGACGCGCCTGTGGAAGTGACTTGTCAATACCTGAAATCCGTCCAGGCCGTGGGGATAGTCGATTTAGATGCCGTGAACAAACTTGCCACCCTGTGACCTTCCACACTGGCGGATGCTTGCTTGAATGGATGGGGCATCTCATTCAAATGCTCCAAAGTTTCGTCTTGAGGAAGATACAGTGCATTTTCGGGTGATCAATTGATCAATGCACCTAAGAGCATCCCAAACCGCGGTATAAATCAATCATGCTATGCCATGCCTACATTTTGATGGGTGTACCGTCAATCTTAGGTCCAGACGTCACTGGCGACATTCGTTCGCCGCCGCTTGCAACATCCGATGGAACGAAACATATGACACCGCCATCGCCATCCCTCCATGCTGAACGTTGTCCCTATCCAAAGAACATGCAATTTTAGCACGATACTGACAATACTGTAGCCTTCTGTGTGTGTCTGATTGTGTCTGTATAATTACTCACTTTTCTAGGTCGTTTTAGTCCTACTCCTTTCCAAGTTGGCCAGTGCGTCCCAGACACTTGTCATGTTGCTTTGTGTGGGCACAGGAATGATAGGGCTCCAGCCGCAAGAGTGTTCCTCGGTCGTTGGTCGCATCAACGATGTGAAGACAGGGGACCTAAGCCGAAGGAGCAATAACCATAAGAAAACATGAAACGCATCGATCTTCCGTCACCTCTTTGCCCGACCCAGAGGTCCCTAAGCTGAAACTGGTGAGGGAATGATTGGAATGCTCAAATCGTTTGATCACATCCTTCATGTGCCTCATCACTTGTATAATTCTAGATATAGGCACTACACTAAGCGCTACTATAGGTCGGCCCATGTCGACGTCAGTGTTTTAAACAAATCCAACTTATACTAGTAGCGTCCTTGCTCCTAGTAGCGAGGCCAGGAGCCCCTAGTAGCTTCTTGTTACTACTAGTAAGGCACTTGTTCCTAGTAGCGATGCACTTGTTACTCTATTTCAGGTTTTTCCTTTCAGATCTTCCAACACTCCCGACCCCGCGCCGCACCTAGCGGGAACTGCGCGAAGTCAATCGGGGAACCATCTCTGCTGGAGATCAAACCGGCCTGCATCGCATCGGTCGAAAGCTGTGCCGACTCGCCAACTCGGGTCCGAGGGTGATGGACTTCAGTGGCGACTCCAGTGGTCCTCCATAACCAGGACACATGCGAAACATGGAGGATCACACGGAGATCGCTTCGGTGGACCTTGAGAGGTGAAGAAATCGGGAGAAATGGTCCATGAAACTCTGAGATCTGGTTGACATACGAGCTCCTTCACTCTCCAGATCGCCTCCTGCTTCAGGCCCACCACCTTGAGCTCCGGATGCCCCTGACGCCGGGACCCAACATGCGCAGGCGATCGCTGGGAGATCACTTGGGATGTTTCACATGGTTCTTTTCTCAAACAACTTTTGAGTGGAGAATTGCATGAAACTACATCATTTTCTCAAACATGAGCATCTGCGCCATTCTCTGCGCAGCATTGGCTGAAGTTTTTCGAAAAGCCACTCTAGACAACACCCCTCAAATGTCCATAACTGTAGCAAATCTTCGTGATGCTCCAGAAGCTCAACGGTCCCAAGATGTTCTTCTTTGAGCTGCAGGATTACACAGAGTCGAGCACTCCACAGTCGCATGGGGACAAAGTTTCAATAGGTCTTGTTTCGCCAATCTCCATGTCGGTCCACTACTATGGCCACTTGAACTCCGAACGCCATAGGATCTCATGGGGCCGTGGCTGAAACGTGGCAGACGGTCGAACCCGATCTCAGTTGGAAAGAACACCTGCCGATGACTTCGACCATGGCGGATGCCTCGGCCGATCAAAACCGGATCCCGCCGGAACAACTAGCACGAAGAGACCATTCCGGAGAACTACCCCAAATACCATAATAAGTAATTATAGCACCAGGCTTTCTCTCCTCTCTCCTTTCCATTGAGTGCCCCTCACCTCCAACCGTCCAAAGTTCTGGTCTTCACCTTGCGGGGCAACATGCGCCAGCAATAAATATGAGGCAACATGTCGTGTGTCAAGGGCGGACATCGGCAGGCTTGATCAGTTGGATTGAAAAATATGTTCCTCTTACCCTGGTTAATAGTTATAGTTGATTGATGGTTTATGCTGGCAAGCGGAACATATTATACTTGGCTTCCTCAGTTGGGCTTCTGTGGCAGAATACAATCCGTCAGACTATCGCTAATCCATCCTAAACACTCAACAACGAATCAGTCATTAAATGCGACTTTGTAGGCTATCCACCAAAGGAGTTTCAAGATCTACTTCAAAAAGCGCCAAATACACGTGAGCCGATTATGTGTATTGTAACCGACCCTCAACCGGGTAGACCGGTCCATTTCCCTTCTTCCAGCGGGTCACTTCAAACAAGGAGACGGTGGTCACTTCCACCGGAACATCACAGCTTCTCCAGTCGGATGCACCGCGCCCACCCGAAAAAAAGCCGTCTCCGAAGCAAATGGAGCGTTTTTTCCCGACGTCCGTGGGAAGTGCTCCGAACATCTCCGAACTGTCCGAGCCCGCTCTTTGGTTCCTCCTTTCCGATCTGTCGATCCGTCTGTGAAACCAGGGCGGCCCAGGGGCCCTGCTTGGAGCACGCCGTCCAGCCCATGTCCACCAGCAGCAGGTTCCGTCGCTCATAGGCGCCGATGACGCGCGTCAACACGCGCACGGCAATGTCCTCCTCGCTGCAGGAGCCAAGCGCCTATGACAAGAGCACGACATCTGGTTGGGCTGGGAAAACAGACGAAAACATAAAGAACACAACATATAGATGCGCTATGTTGCAAAACTTAAAGGACTGCGAACAAAGAATGTGTTTGATAAATGTAATATTTAATGTATACCATGTTTTAAAGATCATAGATGATCATAGTGGATGTGCGAACAGGACTGCGAACAGGGAGATGTTAAGGAGGTGTTTGGGCTTGTGGCGTGTGATGGGCGCCATTTCCCACTATTCAACAATCATAGCATGATTGTCGTAGGATGTTGTAGGCTTTCGGGCAGCACCTGTTCAACCATGTTCAACCGTGTGCTAGCGGCGCTCGTTTGGCTCAGCACAGCCATAAATATCCTAGTTTTTGGGGTATTTTTGGTCAAGCTGACAACTCCATGAAGCATGCGAACCCGGTTCTTACGAGGAACTGGAACACACGATGGGTTTTGAGGATTTTGTCCGGCATCTGACGATTTCTGCGGTTCGAAGCAAATTGGCATTAGGGGGGTGTCGGGATCACGGTCCTGCAGTGGAGCATTTAGGACTCAAGACTAGATATATAGTCTATACCTTGCTGGATCAAAAAGGCAAAGTCGATGTTGAGGACTTGATCAATGAGCAAAAACCAATGGGCACAATTCGCGCTGCGCCTTGCTTCAACCAACGCACATCTTTCAGCCGCAAAGAGATTCGCTTCGGTGACAGTTTGATTGCTTGAAAGGTTCTCACAGCATCTGTAGAGCCCAGCAGTTCTGTTTGTCTCCTAGTGAAAACAAGCGGAACTGAAGTGAAGTGGCAAACTCGTAAGCACGACCCTGGCATCCACTCTCCACATCGGTAAGACTTCAGGCCACTATAGAACCCTTGCTACAATAATATGCGAGTGATGACAGCCACCCCTTGCAACAGGTTGCAAATGTGCACAGCTACCCTTGGCAGCACTATGATGCACTATGTGCTGTGGCTGCGGCTCAACCTCCTACAGCTGCAGTGCTTAAGCACTGCATGCTGTGCATGCTGATGTGAGGGTGAGAGCCCTAGAAGTCTCACACTTGTTACCCACCAGGTAGTCTCGTGATGTTGTGCTGTGATAGTGCAGAAGGTAGACCGGTTGCTATGAACGCAGCAGTAGCCTGCCGAATGGGATGGGACCACAGCGTCAAATGATTGGAATGTGGCAGGTCAAAACATGTTAACATGTTGGTGTTAAGAAAGGAACACCCTGCAAGTGAGGGGCGAACTATGATGAACTATGTACCGTAGCGACCGTAGCAAACAATTCTCTCATACCGTCTCATACTCCTTTGCGGCTGGTCTCCTCGGCAACTAGGCAACTCCCCTCTCAGTCATTCCTTGAAACCGTGCTTTCAGCAAAGAGCAGCTTTCTGTCAAGGAGAAACCGCTGTACTTTACGATTTTGACGAGTGTCATAATCACAATTATCTCTGTGACCAGAAATTGGAAGCGGCATGCCTTTAGGCTGCACTTCGTTTTTCACAACACGACAATCCCTAACATTGGTCCACCGTACTTGTCTCCGGCTCTTTTGGACGTTCGGCTGATGTGGACATCACGACGTCGCCAACACGTGACTTCCAGAGGATGAGTCCCATTGACGGGTACCCAAGGGCAACGCCCCGCGACGCCCGGCCTGTTGCATGGTGTCATAGTAGATGTAATTCCCCGGATGCATCTCGGTCACTTCTGACGGGAACTGGTTCGGAGGGTTGGAGCAGGTGGGCGTCGAGCCCACACCCACAATGGGCACCTGCAGAAGGGTTTCACATCGGGAATGGACCCCCTTCACGGGCCAAAGCATCTCCCAAAAGATGCTAATGTTGGATCCTGATTAGTAAAGGGCCCCCCCCCCTCCCCCCCTCCCTCAAACAAAGAGGGGACCTTCTATAATAAACTACCACCAAATCTGGATTCCTGTGAGGATTCCTTTTGTAATTAATTGTAGTATTCATTTTCCTTTTTCATAGACTGTATATCAGCAAATGAATCATAATCATTGGCCTCAAGAGCTAAGTAAAGGAAGATTCCATGAGCAGGTTTTTTTTCCAGTGGAAAAAACTTTTCACAATTGAGAACCACTAAAACAAATCCATTATTGACGATCAGGTGCCTTCCTGGTCTACTACCTTGAAAATTTGTTTAGGAGCAATGTTTTGTAAAGGGTTTAATTAGGAATTGGTGGTTTTGGAAAGCTGTCAGTTTTGAAGAAACCTAGAGAAACCTATATCAGCTAATAAATCCTAATCATTGGCCTCAGGAGCTAAGTAAAGGAAGATTCCATGAGCAGTTTTTGTCCAGTGGAAAAACCTTTTCACAATTGAGAACCACTAACACAAATCTATTATTGATGATCAGGTGCCTTCCTGGTCTACTACCTTGAACATTTGTTGAGGAGCAATGTTTTATAAAGGGTTTAATTAGGAATTGGTGGTTTTGGAAAGCTGTCAGTTTTGAAGAAACCTAGAGAAACCTATATCAGCTAATGAATCATAATCATTGGCCTCAGAAGGGATTCAATCCCAAAAAATATTTAAGCAGTATTCAGGACCACTTTTTCAAACATGGGGTCTGGAAAAAGTTTGGAAACATTTATTGCGGACCGGTTTACTAATCGTCGTCCAACATTAAAGTGGTCCTGACTTCATTCCTCCAGACACATGGTGAACTCGGCTCCTCACCTCTATGGCATGCCAGGCCTCTTGCTTACCAGGGATGGGTTTGGAATCACAACCTTTGCAAAGCCGATTGGGTCAACTGTGACAACAAACATCTCACACATTCTCACACTCGGTGCGTTGTAGCTTCATTCTCGTTCCATTCTTCCTTCCGCTCTGCTTGTCAGGGCGGTACATGGGGGGTACACTTGAAACACCGTAGTAATTAATTAGTATAGGCGTTGCATGGCAAAGCTCATCGCTCCCTGCCGTCCACTGTCCATGTCGTCGACCGAGCCTCCAAGCAGTACGGCTTCCCCCGCAGCGTCCGTGCGAAGGCGGCGACGGCCTGGGGGTGAACCCAGGATCGTCGAAGCGCCACAAGAGACCAAACACATCGTTGGACTTCCACGAGGTGTATAGACACCCCCCATTCACCTCATGAAGGGTGGGCTATGAATGGACACCTGGAATCCATGCTGGTGGTTGGTGCATTTTTTCTGATATCTGTCTGACATCAATTGTCAATCCATGATTCATGCTCCCAAGCTGCTCCAAGTCGCCCCACCTTCTTCACCGCGCTTTCCATGAACACATCTGGAGGTCTGCAAGTGATTCTTTTGGAATTTTGATTTGAGATAGAACCTTCCTTGGCAAAAACGCTGGGAAATTCGAGTGGCGAATCCAATCAATCCCTTCCAGCCCACACTGTAGACGTGGAAGCCCACCCATATATGGGTGTGTATTGGGATACGGAGACCTACCAGTTCGACCCCGTGGCAGAACGGAAATATGGGAAATAGACCAGTCTACCCAGGCAGGGCCAGGGGGTCTCCGTTACACACCCATACCATAGAACCTCTTCTTTTCGGGCAAACATCTTCTATACCTACTCTATGTGTGGAGCCAGGTGCCTTGGTCCGTAGCTCAATGAACTTGAAGGCCGCGCGGGCACGCGGGCTCAGCTGGTCGCTGTGGAACACAGCTTCTTCCACCCCGCCTCGGCCTCCTGCTGCGCCACCGCGCGGACCGCCTCGATCCCCTGCGACCGATACGCCGCGGAAGGTTGCAAGGACAGGGCGGTGGATACGTCGTCGTCATGCTCGATAGAAACAAGCTTCCAACACCATGAACACACTCAACATAGTCTGTAGATATCTATAGTCTATAGATGTCTATAGTTTGTTGGTCAAATTCGGGGATTTGAGGCCCAAGATGGATTTTGAAACCACTCAGGCAGTTGGCCCGCCGGGCATTCTAGTGATTCAACATGCTTTCATCTCATCCCAGGCCACATCTTTTGCAGCTGTCAACCCAACCGCTCTGGGCGCCCTTAGCCGGTCCCCGCAGCACACCTGGGAAGCATCATAGGAGTGGCCTGAGGCAGATCTGCGGCGAGCTCGTGCGGAGCTCATGCGGAGCTCACCGTGGTGGATGGAACTCCTTGACCCAAACAACGTCCGAAGACGACCGGGGGATGATACTGGTGGATCATGTATAATAGTTGTTGCTTTTGATATACCTTGGGTTAATAGCCAAATACATATTCTGTTAGTCGACGGATTCGTTGGAAAACGTCAGTCGAATAACTTGCAATTGAGATAACCTGTCCTGTCAGTTCCTCGAAAAGGGTGCCCACCAAATTACGCCGCAGGAGGGTAACTATGGGAAGAATGTGGTTTAATCATGTTTTATTATTAAATGATATAGCCGGAAATGCCATCAGTACCTAATCAGCGTACCTGTGGACAATTCTGTTGCGTCCGAGCACGCCTTACGCAAGCGTTCTGAAGTGAGCTGGGTCTTTGTTGACAATTTTGATTCGTTGATATTCTTTGGCACGTCTGAGACATCGTTTTTCTTGTACAGCAGCTGTTGCTGAACCTTTTGTTCCACTCACCAGTCCTTTGCTTTGAGACACCCCATCCACAGCCAATCAGCTCTAAGAACTCTGGCAACTCCACGGCCTCGGAGGCCTACTGAACCTGGTTTTCCGCGTGACCTCTGCCACCCGGACCAGCCCAGCGGTAGGAGCAAAACCAACTGTCAAAATCACCCATGTGTGCGCCAGAATTAGACACACAAAGAGCTCCGAGGCAGGCATTGGCAGCTGTACGGTCTGGCCGGTAGCCTAGGTCCTTCAAAGTCTTAAAAAGAAAAAAACATGTTCATCCCCCAAAGAAAGTCGTTCAATAAACTCACCTGGCACCTGGCACCATACTCCCCCCATTCCCGCCACGGGCGCCCATTCTTTTGCAACAAAAAGAACACCTGCACCCTTCAAAGTATCCTAGCAGAAGGGACATGACTCATGACCCTATTAAAGAAAAAAAACAGGTAAGATAGATCTATCTATACCCATTTTCGGAGGTACTTTGAGACCTTTGACACAACATGACACAACCCAACACAACACTCCATGTGTTTTTTGGTTCCCTCACCGGACTCAGTCCGTTTCTTCGCGGTGGCACCAAGCAAAACGTGAGCGCCTCCATGGGTGTAAAGCCCGGCCAGTCGCGTCCCCTTCGACGACGCCAAGCGCTGAGCCAGTTGCACACTCGTCGGGTCCTTCACGTCGACGCCTGGGTGGCGACCCCAACGGAGAGGGTGGCGGACCGGTGGTGACCACCGACACCGTTCGAGGTGTCTATACATAGCCTCTTAGTGGTTATAGGTGGTATCCTATAAACCACCGGACTTGGAAGGTCATGTACCATATCCTTTGGACTTTTTCGACTTTTCGATGCGCACAGTGCCTGTCGGCGCAGCGCCTTGCACAAAGGGGGTATATGTCCTTTAGGCCCATGGCTACAGGCTGGTGGATATCCCAAAAACTGGTCCAGCCGCTTCTGGCAACACAAGACCTGAGTCGTTGGGACCGTCAACGACAAGATCTGAGTACAATCAAGCCGAGGTAAGTCACGGTAAGTATGAAGCCTATGACTGTGAAGCCCAGCTATGTGCGTGGCAACACTTTCGGTACATTATAAGCTAATTATAGTATATCTACATACACGTTGGCAACACACAGGCGTTGCCAAGGACCTTTCACTCTCCCCGTTTTCCGCGCCCAGCGTCCGTCTCGGCCATAGCCACAGTCCACCATGAGAAACACGGACCAAGGCTTGTTGGCCTTCGATTGGCACAAAGCCTGGAGCAACGGAGCAGGGAGAAGACAGGACTCTCTGCTAGTCCCGAACAGCCACGTTTTTTTTTATGTGGTAGCTGAGGATGGCCATATTGAACACTTCTTGAGCAGCTTGTGGTAAATTGACTGACCTCACTTAAAAGGACCTCCAAATTCGAGGTTGGTTGGGAGGGAGATGAAGCAATCCGTTGACGGCATGCGACCGTGAATTCGACCCTTGAGGTTGGTCCAAGAGTTACACTCGATTAAGGTAAGAGAGCAGAACCACAGTTCGAGCTTCAATCCCAAAAAGAATCCCAACGATATGATTCGATTTAGTACAGCACTGGGATGCACTGGGGAAAAAAATAACCATTCTTCCAATCCACCCAGTCTCGGCTTGTGTCCCGAGTGGCTAAGAAAATACATATATCCCTCCATCTCCCACGGCTAGCACCGACATCGCCACCGACCTGTCCACACCTCGCCTCCACTGCCTGCGGATGGTCGACACACACGTGGAAGAGACATCGCTCGTGGAGCTGCGCAGCCCGCGGGAGCTTCTCCGCGGTGATGGGCACGGCGTAGCAAATGTCCTCTGGCGCCGTTCCAGCACGCCGCGACGGCGGCCGACGGTTCAATCCGCAGGTGTTGACATGGGACATGTATCCGGAAGGGTGAGGAGTTTTCGACGTGGCTTTTGGGTGGTTTTTGGGGAACAAAAAGAAGAAGATCGACGTCTTGGGCAGCGGAGAACACTGCAGCCAAGGGTTCTAAGTAAGTGATGGTGATGAATGGTGATGATGTGCTTTGAAGCAAAGCAGTTTTGCTTGTCAAATTGCATCTACTTGATATATATTAGACACTAGTTCAGCGTTCTGATGGTTTCTTCCGGTGTCTTCATGTTTTTTCCAAGACCACTGGTCAAAGGCTTCGCACCAGCTTCGCACCTTTCTCTACCCCATCGCCGGCACCTCGAAGCCGGCATCGGCGTAAAACTCCGCTTCCGCCAAGGTGGACACTGTGATGCAGCGCTTGGTGCCGTCCGTCGCAAGCACACCACCTGCTGGCGAAGGTGTTCAGGTTTTTTGAACATTTTTGCTGAGCAAATGTGGGCTGGTCATGCTTGCAATGGGCCAAAGAGAACATCAATGTTAATGCGCAAATAGCATGGCTTATGATTAAGTCTACCCACAAGCTCACGGACCCTCAAATTGCTACATGTTTGAGGTCCACAAACGGGTCGAAAGCCTAGCAAACTAAGGGCCCTGACGACTGAGCCCCCTGGGTAACAAGCAACTGAGTTCTGTCCACTTCCGTTCATGACCAAACGGTCATCCACCCTCTCTGTAGAAAAGAAACACTTCTGCCTCTCGCGGTCGCAACCTTCTGCCGCAAAGCAACCGGAGTAGCGGTCCACCGTGGTCCACTCCAACACGATGCATCGTCCGCATCGACGATCCAATACAACCCCCACCAGCTTCCAAAAGATGACCGGACATCAGCGTCAATGTCCGCCTGTTGGGTCTTCGTTTGGTACGGCATGTCATATTCTGTCATCCAAGTGTGATCTTCCGGTTTTGTGAGTCCACCTTGGATGGTTTTGTGGGTCTTCATGTGCGGCCGCAATTGACATCCCAGCTGTTTAGCCCGCTGCAGCATCCGCTCACCTCAGCCCGTGCCACGTCGTTCATGTCCGAGCCCTCCAAGAGTCCAAAGATCCATGAAAACGTTGTTTCAGTCCTTCCATTCATCATGTTTGTATATGTTTCTCCTTGTTTCAGTTCTTTGAAACACAGTCCTTCCTTTGCAACAATCAAGAACCCTTGGGGTGAACCAAGGGCTCCTTTGGATCGTTTGAGTATGGCAACTTTATTATAGGTCAGTTTCGAAACTGGAAAGAGCTAAGCTTTCTGACGGTCGGTACCTTCCCACATCGGATTTTGGTGAAAACGACTTCTGGTCCTCTTTGAGTCGAGGTGAAAACGACTTCGCCCATAACCGGCCCTGAAACCCCTCTTCGGAGCTGGGCGGCTATTGCGCTGGATCACCGACTTGTAACCGATGTAGCAGGGCGTCACCAACTCCGAAACATCCTCCGCAGCAAACGAACAGGGCATGGAATTTCCGGTAACGGATCTGTGTTGTTTCTATCTTTTTTGTTGTTTTTTCTGGTGCCCTTGGTGTTTCATCAAGACCCCACGTAGGTCAAACACGTTGGTCGGCAAGCCGCATGGGTCGCATGGAATGCTCCTTAAAATGTCCTAAAAATCGTTCGGAAAAACCTCCCAGGAGATCCTTGGATTTGCTGGGCAACAAGTGATGAAACGACAAAGAGAAGGTTTCAAGAATTCGAGTTCGGATCACAGAGGTGGATGTTGTTTACAAACAATTTAGCAAAGTATTTAGCATACAGAACAGTCCTTACAGCAGGCCAAACCTGGAGGCTAGCCTCCCAAAGAAATGAGTTGCTGTTTTTTCGAGGTGACGGAAGTGCCAAAGGCTGGTGGGACAACCTGAACTGATTCAGATTCAGCTTAAGATAAGACTATGACACTGAGTATGACCTTTAACTTTAGACCTTGTTGGTGTCTTCACCGGGATCATTCTTTTTCAGTGGGGGGAACAGGGTTTTGATTTACACCATGCTTTGCCGCAGGAGCATACCCAAGAATTCTGAGATCAATGTACTTCAACATAGTTGAGCTACAGCCAAAACTTGCTAGGAACTCCCGTTCGCCTATAGAGTTGTAACGTTGCAACCCCTAAAATAATCCATCCTGATCATCGGTTTTCATCGGTTTGACGTTCCACGTCTTCGCGAAAAGTGCATCCGAGCGGGTCCTTGGGCGTGCTCTGGGCACCTCAGCGAACGAGCGTTTGGCGAACGCAAGCGCGACACGGAAGGAGCTCCAAAAAGCGAGGGAACAGACGGCCGCTTCACCCTAGAAGCCAACTATTACAGATGTCCTGGCACCCTGAATTGTAAGAATTCCTCATTTCCCCAAGGGAATTCGAGAGGCCATTGTGGTATAAAAGCAGATTTGATGTGAGCACTTGTTGTTTTAGGAGTCAAAAGATGCCATCGACCGACTTGACAAGGCTGACCAAGGCACTGATGCGTGGCTGCTTGCAGGGTGGCTCCATAGTGCACCATGGGAAGGGTGGGTAGCTTCAATGGCGGTCGACATGTCAACATACAAACATACATGTATACACCTTCTTTGGGGTGTCCAAAAAACTACATGTGGCTTCCATGAGACATGTCCACTCCGGTAATAGACCTCCTCCAAAACCCAGACATGGGGGAACAAAAAACACAACGATCTTCGCTCCGTCGACGTGGCCGAGCAACCGCAAGGGTCGGTCCGTGGCCGCAAGGGTTCGCTGAAGGCCCTGTTGATGTGTGGGTTGATTCATGCATTGCGTCTGGCATGTCCGGACTGTGACTGCATGCTGATTGCTGTTGATGGCGAACTTCCGAGCAGTGTGGGCCAATCCAACTGGCACGAAAGCAAGTAGGAAAGGTTCTAGTTCTAGTATGTTCTAGTTAAGACTTTGTGCCCAGCTACCGCCTATGAGTGATTGAAACAAAAAAGAAGACTATATATATATATCATATAGAGGCGATTCAAGTTTAGATATCGCCTGGTTTTGGACATGTGTGTTTTCTTGTGAGGCCCTTGAGTCCAAGGCTGTTTGCACATCCTGCACATCCAATGGCGTGTCACTGTGATCGGTTTGCTCGCCTGAACATGCTGCATGTTGAAACACCTTGATTTCTCGAACGTGTCAACAAATCTCAGCCCGTACTCCCACCTGAGCGCCAAACCCGCTCTATTCTTTTGGTTCACAGCCCCATGTCTTTTCACCTCACAAGCTCATTATGTATATGATTAATGTGTGTGATGTGTTTCAGGCTGGCGCTCGCCGACCCTAATGCTTGGAGCATCAACCACCCCGTGGACCCCGTGGTTGGCCTGTAGCTTCTGTTCGGAATTGTTTCCTCCAGTCAATCCTACCAGTCATGTGCAGATCACATCCGCAAGATCTGCAGATCTCTTCCAACAGCTTAGTGGCGAACCAGATCGCAACATCACCAAAAAACCACTTGTGTGGCGCAGATCCGTTTTTCTCCTCAAAGGCCTCTCCATCGGCCACAAAGATACGCAGCGCATGCAGCGCACTGCTGCAAGGCCTGCAAGAAGAAACTCCAAGGGATTGAGCTGCAACAACCTGGCGGGCGGTCGTTAGAGAGCAGCTGCTTGAGGATCGTTGGAATCGTTGGACCATGGAGAGCTGTTGTTTTCACCCACCTGCTTTGGAGGCCGTTGTTACAAGGCCTAGGTGGATAGGTGGGAAGAAACGCTTTCTTCTTAGAGGGAAGTCCTTTTCTGTGAGAGCTGTCTTACACGTCCATGCCTTCAGGCATGCGTGCACCTGTTTGTTTCCTCGTGACCTGTGGCACTAGCGTCGGGACCCCTTGTCGACAACAAACTGGGAAAGGCGGTGGCTGCGTGATGAAGTTGAAGCTTTGGCCTGGAAATCCTGAAGGACATGCCAAATCAGATCAAACATTCAGAGCCACTCAGCCACTCTTCAGTCGACTGGGGACCTTTGGATGGCCATGGTGCGGGAAATTCTGGAGATCAAAAGCAGCAAGCCGGCCAAAGCCGGTAAACATCTACAAAAATTATACGTAACTACGACATCAAAAGGCACAGTGGATTCATTCTTATCTTGGGACTGCATGAAGAAAAAAAACACCGATGTGTGTATCTGTAATCCAGAAAGTACTATAGTACAACAATTTAAATATATTATGTGCGCAGCTAAAGAAGTGAACTAGATATCCAAACAATCGGTTCCTTCACAAATTAAAGAAACCATCGGTATCCGGTTTTCGCACCACGGGTCGTATCCAATTCTCGTCGGTTCGAGTGTAGCAGCCTGCGCAGCCGGCACGCCAAAAACGCCCGTCCGGTCCTCTTGGTGCTTCCTTTGAGAGGTTTTGCATCTCCACCGAGAATAGCGTGAAGCCAAAGCCCTGGAAGCGAAGGCGTAAACTGCCTTCCAACAAGCCTGCTTCCACGACCTGGCGGCCATGGATGCCACGGGTCCCACCTTCTCCCAACCCCCAACATCCTACCCAGACACGACCTGTCGACTGCAGTTTGCTGACATTGACCTCTGAAACCATCTCAATGTAGGTATATATGCCATACATGGAGGGTCAGGGATCTAGGAGATCCACATACCGTATACCTTAGTTGAGAAGGTGATTAGCGACTCTTTGATGGCACCGGCGCCAAGGTCGGAACCTTAGGACTTAAGATCTGTTCTGAAATGGCACCGTGGCCGTGGTATTCATCGGTCCCACCTCCTCTCCCAATGACTCGACCCAAACGAAGACGGGTTGCTTTCGCGGCACTTGGACACTGTGGGAAAACGTGAACATGTGTCATGTTGAAAACACACGTACTTTTGCATCAAAAGAAGACATGTTCATCATGAGATAATTGTTTGAGGCATTGAATCATTTAACAGTTTCAATTGAACATTAATGTTCAAGTGAACATCTTCATCAAAGCTAATCATCTGATAATCGTGATAAGATCAGATCCACATAATTTTTAAACATCTTCAAAGACGTACATGTCTTCCAATTTAGGACAAGCGCTCGCCTCACGAGTTTCATCGATTACGTCTATGCAAGCCTCGACGCAAGCTGCTTCCGAGAGTACCCAGATTTGGAACAAGATGCTTGTACCTTGAAATAAACCCAAAGAATGGGTGATGTATGAAGTGGTCATCACCCAGCACCAAGGTGTACCCTCAGGATGATTGAAACATCGAATCACTATTCTTTATTAATCAAAATCAATCCACCTCAAATGATGAGTTGCTAATTGCTCCATCTCGCTCTATTTTGAGTGCAAAATACCAAGTGCCATCGTCTTGGGTAAAAGACCCAAGAAGAGAATCCAAAAAAAAACAGAAAAAAAACTCACGAATTGGTCAACGGAACGCGTCACCTCCGGATATTCGGCAACATGTCCCGCGGAGGACCTCTCCGCGAGCTCCCGGAGTCAAGACGCGGCCACCGATGCGACGCAAAGGTCCGCAGTAGAAGAAGGTCTCACCCACGTCACAGCCCGCCGGCAACGGCCTCGGCAGTTCACGTGTTTCTCCGCCGGCAGTTCACGTGTTCCCCCGTGCCTTAAGGAGACTATAGAAGGCATATAGGCCAAAAAACACGTATCTTTTGGTCAAGAAAAACTGGAAAGAAGCTCACTCAAAAGACTTCCTCCACGCGCTCATCCTTTTCTCTGGCAAGCTGTTTTCGCCTGCGCCTCAAAGAAACACTGCTCTTGCGTTTCTTTCATGTCTGGGCAGCGAGCACAGGCTATAGTGCCATGCTGCACCAAAAATGCATCCCAATAGGGCTCACGTACAAACACTTGGGCAAATCACACTCTTCTTCTAAAAGTTGTTGCCTCGGGCAAACAGTCTCCTTCACTATAAGATCTCATGCCAGTTGCTTGTTCCTGATGGCCTATGCCGGTTCCTGCTTTTTTGAACACCGCTCCTCCTGGTTGAAGCGAGCTCGCTCTGGGATGCTGTGCTGCGTGCCGCCTTCGCCTGGAGAAGCAACTGAGCGTTGTAATCGTTGTAATCCGTTGTTACCAGCGACCTTGGCCACAGACTTCAGGTCTTCTCCAGCTACGTCTGGTGCCCAAACAGCTGCCGTCGTTTCAGAAGCGTCGGCCAAGGTCGGCTTCCACGGATTGGCGGAGGACGGCGCATGAACAACGGAGGTGGACGACTCAGGTGAGGTAGACGACGAAATGGCGCCTGAAGGCCCACCGAGAGGGAGACTTCAAAACGAACCTCTCTGGAAGGTTCGGGAAATAGACGAGTCTACCCAGCCAGGGCCAGGGATGCCAAGAGGTCCCGCCTTTTTGTAAAACACACCTCAGTGCGAACCGGATGCCACGGTGAAGAAGGCCAAAGCGGCAGCGCAGCATGGCGCCGTTGGGCGGTGGCATATCTGCTCACACCACACCGGAAAACCATGTAGCAAGGTTCTTCTTGCGCCTTGTCATGGCGGGTGGATGTGTGTTGGCATCGATCTTCCGCCGAAATCTGAAGCAAAGATCGATCACGACCTGAGCGTTTTTGAGCCGAAACAGGCATCTCACCTCATCTCACCTGACCGAAGCAGGGGGCCTTCGAAAACCAGCTGCACCCCCCGGAGCTTGCTCCGGTCGGAGTCGGAGACCGCGCGAGCTGGCTGGGCCCAGAAAGAGCGTGAGTTGCTTTGCTGACCCTTCTCTCCGACTTGCGGAGATATGGCAGGCCCATAGCCCTTGCAAAAAGAACAGCAACAATTGAGAGTTTAGGATCTCTGAGCCACACCGAAGAGAAATGTACCAGGACCATCCGTGGGTGTCCTGGCATATCCGTTGGTGGTGGGATGGGGTAGTTTCTTGTTGGAGACGCCAGACGGTTGGTCCAGGTACCAGTTACTCCCCAGAAAATATGGAACCTAAAAGCCACTGGTTTGCGGAGGAAGCTAGTCTTCCACAGGTCCATTTTCAGGTTCCCTGCTAATTTTGCCGGGTATAAGGTGTTGTGTTGTGCTGTGTGTGTGAAAGAACACAGGATACCACAGCTGGAACCATCTCTCTCTTGCTCTTCAGGCGGCTTTTCCATCCGAAACCCTGCGGCGTTTCGCCCAAAACAACATACATGCCGGAGAAACTCAAGTATACAGCCCTATACTCCTAGTAAATCAAGTAAGGCCGGGACAGGTTTCCACCGACTCCACGTCGCACCGGGGCAAGGGCACCACCGGACCGGTCGGCAGCGACCGGACCGGATGGGATGGCCAGGGAGGCCCGGAAGACCATTGGAAGGTTGAACTCACCTCCAAAACCCATTGGGAGATACCTTGACCGACCTTGACCCGATGGGTGTTCCATACATCGCGCCTTTTTTTTGTTCTTTACACATACGCTAAGAATTAAGCACGTTGCTCATGACCAGCGCTTGACTGGCCCGAACAACTCACTACACAAATCCGGCTTGACAAAAGGTGAAACGCGACCCAAGAAACCTGTTTTTGATGCAGGGAAGTCTGGTTTTGTAGTAGAATAACTTTCAAATGCTCATCAATTCATCAATTCTCTCAAAAACGTCTTCTTCCCCATACACACTGCATCTCCCCCGCCGGTGGCCAAGTGACACGGCATTGGGTGGTGAGCGGGACAAGTGCAGTCGATGCACTACGAGGCTTGTGTTCGCCTCCGTCGTGTGGTGTGTGGAACTTCAAGACCATCAAAAACCCAGAACTTCATTCACGACTTCTTCTACCCCAGCACGACCGGCAAGGTTTTGCGTCATGTGGACTGTTGAGGAGTTGGGTTTCCATAGGTGTCCTTCTTCCCGAAGTGCCCATTGCGCAAGATGGGTGAGACGGGTGAAGACCCTTCGGTGTCCAGAAGTGGAGAAGAGCGTTAAGACCATCGACAAGGATGAGCGAAGGGGTGGTCAGCAAGACCAGCCAGTCTGCAACAAGAGAAATGCATGTCTGCCCAGGTGCAAATACATGATGCGTGTTCTTTTTCCCGAAGGTTCTGAACCTGCTGAATCCAATGAATAATTGAACTGAGAGTTCTTGTGGTGGCACAGTTGGTACAAGCAAAACCTCAACCTGCACTGGAACATGCAACCTTTTGGTGCAAACAGGAACAGGCTTGGTATACATCTCCCAAAACAACGGGCACAGCTATGCACAGCTCTCTCCCGAAAACGGGCGAACGCCCAGTCTCCAGGGATGTTGACATTTGAGGACATCTATAGGGACTCCCAAGGATAGCGAGCAATAGACAATCGGATGTGCCCCATTCAAACTGACTGGAGAATAAGACACAGTAATTCCAAGATCATGTTGTATAGACCAGTCTTGTGTTGCTTTCAGTGGGCCGAAACGAAACTGCCCGCCCAGACGCCGCCAGCACGGCCGCAGGCCAAGCGCGCAGAAAAACCGCCTGCGGGAAGAAGACCAGCGTGTAATCGCGATGCGAATTGCTTCCTCCTCGGAGGGTGCACACGGCTCCACGCTCCACAAGACTATTGGAAGCCATGCTGGGGCCACAGTAGAAGAGCCTCAGACGGTGGCGGGTGAAGTTCAAAGACTCAAAGACCGAGTTGGAAGAATGCACACAGCTGTTGAATGACAAATCATATTCACAAGCCTGTTCGGTGTGTGGTATTGATCTGTCTAGAGATCGTTTTCTTGTAGATCACTTTTCAGCGGTTTACTGTATACATGTTGTACCGCCAACTGGATGACACCAGAGAGACACCTGTGACGGTGTGAGGTTCTGGGGTTGACCAGCGTCAAGTTTACATGGCACCAGAACCGATCTTTGTGAGCAAATCATGTCAAGCAATGAAGAAGACACCTAAGGAGGATCAGAAGAGGGTCTTGTATGAAGACAACATCCGAAAGCACTCTTGTAGGAGTGTCATGTACTTAAGTAGGAGTGTCATAAGAACATCCCTCAAGTAGGAGGGTCTTGTCATGTCTAAGTCTTGTACTTACAGCCCAGGCGAGCGCTCTCCACTTCCGGCGTTCAGCAATCGTTTCACACCAGGGCGAGGCAACATCTTCCAGGTGCAAAGCATTCATAACCTCGTCCTGAAAGATCTTCTGCGAGTATGTGAACACATGTGAACACCCCTTTCCTATTCATACCTTGTAGACTGTTTGTAAGGAAATCCAAGAGGCAATGAAGTTCCTCTTCTGTAAAGCCTTGAAATGCCCAAGAGTTTACTGCGACCCAAACTAGCGAACTGTCTAGTTTTGGACTTCTCCTTCCATTTTGGGCCTCAACCAGCTTCGCTTCGCTGTGAGAAATCGCGAAATCGCATGCCACAAATCCGCGAAATCCAAGGAGCTCATCGCCTTCCTGAAGTTCCTCCTTCTTGACCCAGGTCACTTCCACTTGGTCGCTGAGCTGCATCAAAGGCCGGCTCAGCAAGTCCTCGGAATTCTCATGAGCTCGTTCCTCGTCGTTTCACCGCGGGCCATTGCGTGGATGAAATCTGGTCTGACCTTCTGGTGGTTTGGCTCCCCAGTGACACCTGGTGTCTAAAGTACTTTCGTATGAATGCATGCATATTCAGATCATGACAAATTGCAACAAACTTAATCTATGTTTTGTTGGATAATTAGCGCACTCGTGCTGGGTATGTTGGCAACGCCCTGTGACAAAAGAGCATATCAAGACATTGGGTATCCTCAAAGCACCAGATTCTGTTCTTGAGACATCTTTACACCAAAGTGGGATGCATCAGCACTGGACAAAAACCACCTCCCTTTTACGCCACCTAAACTGGACTTCTCGCCACGTCCCCTTCCCCCGCTCGGTTTGTTCGCGCGGAACGGCGCCCGGTGGCGCCTTCCAGGTCTCGGCGCCGCAGCACAGGTGATCCGCGCGCGTGACGTGGCACTGGGCGGCCTGGCCGATCGTCCCCTTCAACTGCTGTAGCGTGATCTCCTCGCGCTGGACGCCGGGACCGAGACGGCCGGACGTCGAGGCCGGACGGACGTCCTGTCCAACCGAGAGCGAACCGCGGGGGAACGGAACGAACACAAGAGCGGCAGGGGGGTCTCCAAACGCGGTTGAGTTGGCGCGTTGAAAGCGAAGGGGTTTTTTCTCCAAGATCGGAGAATCGGAAGAATCTGGGCGAGAATGGATGTAGCTGGATGTGCCTGGGAACCTTTTTGACGGTCCTTGTGCTGCAAATAGATAACATATCTTGTTGACTCAAAGCTGGAACCACTGCCATGGATCACGTTTAGGAATGTGGGTTCTTCGGGCCTGGGGCAACGCGGAAGCACCGATCTTCTGAGAGTCAGCATGTGTCATGTCATTGTCATGTCTGCGTCTTCTTATTCATCCTTCGCCATCGTGAGATGTTTTTCCTAACCTGCTCCATGCTTAGCTGAGCTGCTTCATGCAGGATGTGTGCTGTTCCACCAGAAAAAGCAGGCATCTCTCTCTCTCTCTCCTGTGGAACGCGGACTTGGCACAGCACCTCACCGCCCAAGGACCAGACTGTGACCAGCACCGTTGGCACATCGCTCATGGGAAGGCTCGACCGGTCGGAACGGGATCAACGGAGCGACCTGTCCGGGACGTCCATCGTGTCACCGCCGAAGGGTTCAGGGACTGCTCCTATTTACGGATCACCTACCTCTTTAGGAACTATATAAGTGACCTCATTCTAGGATCTCAAGTTCGGTCACTTTGAAGGTCCTGGTATATAAGGACCATGTTTAAAGCAATAGACTCCCAGAGTGTTGATGGTGAACCTGTGATGATGACTCGGTGTTGATGATGTGGTCATGGTGCTCCACTGGTCATGCACTCCTTGCCCCTTTGGTCAAATGTGCCAGCTTAGCTCGTAGCAGTCAAGTTTCCAAACTTGGCTATTTTCTGACCAACGCCATGGTCTATGGGAGTCAATGGTTTCAAAACAGCCTGGTCTTGATGAACGCGTCAGCCAATCAGGTGTATAGGTTCTGATCATTTGTCAATGTCGGTCCAGTTTTCGTTTGACAAAACCGGTCAACATCCCCATGTCTACAAGTATTTGCCTAAAGCCCGGCTAAGATCCAGCCATGCAATCGCAAGATGTTGCTTCGCAGCTGGAGCCTTGCTAGTGGCACATGCAAGTGACTGCCAGTGGTTGGAGAGATCAAGAGTCATCGTCACTCATGATCATCTCAGAAATGTTGTTTGATTGTTTTTTTCCGGATTTGCACAGCATCGCCGTCGAGCTCGGACAACTACCAAAGCATGCTCTGCTTGGCAGAGAACGTGCGTGCGAACTTGGTCGACTAAGTCAAAGAGAAAGATTGACTCCCGGAACCTCTGACTGCACCACAGATGATTGTGGCCCCGGTGTATGAAAGCTGCTGATGTTGATGAAGCATGAAATCGATTGAGATACAGTCCTTGATGCAAGTTTCATGCATCTTCGGGAAGGGGCTACAGTATCAAAACCGTCTTCCATGATTCGTCAGTTTCATCTTTCCGACGTCCAGGAGGTCACTAATCAGAGTAAGTTGCTGCATAACCCGAGGTCCAGCAGGACGTCCACGGGTTGTTTGCTCAAGTGTTGCTGATGTACCCAGCCTCCCGGGTCAAGTCACCTCGCGGTGACGGAGAAACCCGACCAACCACAGAGCGTCGAGACGCGCGCAGTCAGCACCGGTGCGAAGGGTGGAGGAGAAGGGTCGAAAGCGAATCCCACCAATGATCTGCAGAAGCTTTCTGAATTAGGATCAGTGCTGGATCGGATGGTATAGTCAGCTTTCTATACAGAAAGAAAATACATTGGGAGGCTTGTGATTGCTTGCATGGATGTTGTATCACCACCATCTTTGTGTCCCAAAAAGTATTCAAGCGCATCGAAATCGTTGGATTGCTGGCCATTTGGTCAAGACATGTTGTCTTCCAAAACATTTACACACTGGCATGGAAGTGGAAAGCATCCGGAACACTAAAGTACACTAAAGTACTCTCGACACATGAGAACATGAACCATATATAAAAGAATCGCCCGCCTATATAATTCTGGTATAGTTCCACGTGTGCCTTTTCCAGTGATCCCGCACTTCCGAGTACGGACCGAGTACGCTGTCGTCTTCCGAGGTACGCGGGACCTGTCTCTCTACCTTCGACCCTGCCAGGGCACTGGGGGAGTCGAGACCCTCGGTCCCATCCTTCCACGTGCCCTTTTCGTTGGGCTCCTGTCTTCGGGTCCGACAGCGTCTCCACCCGGTCGTCGGGTTCCGACGGTTCGGGGCACGACGGTGACCACACGGACGAAGGATGAGAGGAAGCGGGTGGGAGGCTCCAGGCCGGTTGGGACACACGGAACACGGACGGAAATGGATGTCACACGCGGAAATGATGCCATCGATCGCATCTGTATAGATCTACCCTGGGATCTACCCTGAAACTCCAACAAATCATCGCTTCGCTTACCTCCATGATTGCCAAAAACGCACCCGCCTGTACAAAGGTATACAAAGGTACTTGAATCAGTGGCAGTGTGGAAACACCATCTTCCACCCCCAAACAAACATGACGTTCCCACCTAAAAGAACCGAAGTTTCGCTCTTTCCATACCGAGCAAAGACCTCTTTCGGGCGCCCAAAAAAGGGACTCGTCCTTGCATGTGGATGTTGTTCGTGTTTGGTGTCTGTTGCCTTCAGATGTGGAAGTGGATGATGGAAATCGATGTTTCATCTGGCACCCCACGAAAAGGGTCGCTTTCTTCAAGAGGCCCGGCTCTCCGGTCTCATCCCTCCTCGTCCAGAAAATCCTCTAAAGATTCCTCCGGTCGAGGAAGGACAAAGGGGTGTGAGTTTGGGTGAAGTTCACCAAGGCGCTGGAAATTGAAGGAGGGTGATGGTAGGGAATCCCCCAAAGAGGTTATACACATGTACATAAAAGCAAAACCAAGTAAAACTAAACACATAGTAAAACAAGTAACCTCCTTTGGGCACCAAACATTCCTGAAGCCTCGCGAAACCCAAGCATGATTGGGGAGGATGGGAAGGTTTTAAACACAAACATGGGACCAAAACTATCTGAAAGGTCCAAGAAAGAAAAGGTTGACCCAGATTTTGCCCACCCACTGCTGTTTTTGTAAGTAGGTCAGCTAAGAAACTCGAGATCTGTCCAAAACCCCTGATGACCTGAATCGTCTCTGACCTGAATACTGACAAATGTGTTGATGGAACGTGTCAGGATCTCAATTTGCAGATTTTCAGAAGTATCTATGAAGTATCTACACCAGCTGTTTCTTGTTGGTGTCCCCTGGCTGGACTACCCTACATAGGTCTCCAACCAGGACCATTCCACTTACCTTTGAATTGCCGCTATATAGGTACTTGATGACTTCATGACAGCTTTGTAGAGTCGAAGTTGATGACCTTATATAACCTTCTACTTCAAAAGGAGTTTCAACTTGAGTCGCATATCCAGCACCCAAACACGGCGACCCAAGAAAAACATATGACACAGCGTCCCTCGGACACTCGCATTCCTTCCTCCTTGTATCCGCTCCTCCCTCCGCCGCCGCCGAATGCGGCCGCCGGATGCCACCGAAGCGTCCAAGGGCTCCGCAGTGTCCACCGCGGTGTCCAACACGGAGATCTCCTCGTCCGGCTGCGTCCCGGTCACCGTGATGGCGCCAGCCGCCGTCATCTGCGAGAGGGCGGCGGGAGGAGGCGCGTGGGGCACGGGGTTGGGAGGAAGGACGGTCCTGGATGAGGAAAAAGAACATGGAACAGATGATGTTCCATTTCCAAACAAGATCCATAGAAATCCATTGGAGCAATTTTTGGGGAGGCTAGAAATTGGTGAAAGGCATGCAAATGGATGCATGCAGACATGCAGATGCATGCAGTACATTCTGAGTAAGGGGTGCGGTCAAGAGTGGCACCCCTTGGTGTTCATGTGCTGAAAAACAGAAGACTTGAAACATTCACCACTGTAAATGGAAGTGGTTGAAGCTCGAGACTTCCCCATACGTAGATAGATAGATAGATAGATAGATAGGTAGATAGATACGTAGATAGATAGATAGATGGATAGATAGAACATGATAGATAGATAGATAGATAGATAGATGGATAGATAGATAGATAGAAAATGATAGATAGATAGAAATAGATAGATAGATAGATAGAAATAGATAGATTGATAGATAGAAATAGATAGATAGATAGATAGATAGATAGAAATAGATAGATAGATAGATAGAAATAGATAGATAGATATAGATAGATAGATAATGATAGATAATGATAGATAAATAATGATAGATCGATAATGATAGATCGATAATGATAGACAGATAATGATAGATAGATAATGATAGATAGATAATGATAGATAGATAATGATAGCTAGATAATGATAGATAGATAATGATAGATAGATAGATAGATAGATAGATAGATAGATAGATAGATAGATAGATAGATAATGATCAACAGGTAGTCAGGGTTGAAGGCACACAAAGTCCCAACCACTATGGCTTGACCGATCGGCACGACCGGATCCCGCAAGAAGCGGGGGTGAGGGAGGCGCAGCCACAAGGCTCTTTTTAGCTCGAGCAGCCCGCCGCTGCGGGTCATGAGTATGTGCATATCAAATGCCCTTCAAGTGTATGGAAACACTTCACATTGTGCAAAAGTAGACAAAAAAAAAGGAAGGACCGGAGAATTTCATCTCCCACAGTCCTTGCAAATCCTCCACCGTTTGGCGTGCTTGCTCACACCCAGGTGGCCACAATTGATTCGAAGGTGCGCGCATGCACCTGTCGGGGTCGTGAAGACCTCTTCCGGCATGTGGCTGTAGGTCGCTAGTCCATTCTCCTTCTTCTCGCGCTTTTGCAGAAGCGCTGACAGGTAGGAGACTTTCCTCTCCAATTCTTTCACCTGTGCCTGTAGGCTTTCATTCTTCTCCACCAGCTCGTTCACAATGTTGCCCATCACATCATCCTCCTCGCCGTGATCAATCGGCTCCAACTCCGGCACCGGTTCCTCTTCGCTCTCATCGGCCGGCTCGGCCTTCTTCTTCTTCTTTGGCTTGCACTTCCAAGCCAACATGAAGATCGCCAGGATCATCAGCATGATCATCAGAATCGTCGCCAGGTCAAAGAGGTCGACGTTGATGGAGACATGCTCAATGTCGGTCTTGCATTGATCTTCCCTGGCATTGGCACCGATGATTTGGGATGTCATCACCATTCCAATGAGGGCCTCTGCCACCTTTGAAGATGTTCTCCTTGTCTCTTGAACTGTCTTCTGGCGCTCCTCCTGACTCTTTTTCTTTGCGGCTTGGTAGGACTCGTCGGCGACCAGCTGGATGTAGTGTCCCTTGTACCTCTCCGTGAAGGCCTGACGGGCACTGATCTTCGTCAATCCATCAGCTAGCTGCCGCTCTGATGAGACCCATCGCCAGCTGCAATTTAGGTCTCTCAATGTCTCCTTTATCACAAGCCCTTCAATGGCAACTCTTTTGTCTGTTGCCTGTTGGATGGTCTCCCTATAGACTGCATCATAGAGGGCCTTGCAGTCCGTCACCATGGCGCTCACGCCTGTCAATTGATCCTTGATGTTCTTGAGGTCGCAGTCTGGCTTCTTCAGTGCTTCGAGGAAGGTCTTGGCCATGAGCAACTCTTCCAATGCCGTAGCTGTTGCTTGGCATTCAGCACCTAAGCTGCTCCTGCACACACGGGGCAACTTGAAGGATCTCCAGGCCACGGTGCTCGCCGGGACCTTGATGCCATTGTGAACGGCTTTGTCGCAGGCCATGATGATGAATCCTCCTTGTGATGATCCATCCCTTCGGGTTCCGAAGCCTGCGTCCGCGTAGCATACCAGGGTCATGTTCTCCAGGCTGTTGATGGTGCCCTTGCCCTCGTCAATCTCTTTCGCCAGAAACTTGATCGTCACATCTCCTTGGCTCTTACCAAACCTCAGGGTCTTGTTCAACTCGTTGATGTCCTGCACTGTACCTTTCGGGACTGCACCAGCTTGCAGTGACACTGATGCTGCCAGCATGGGCATACCCTGTGAGCTTGGCCATTGTAGAGCTCCAATGAGTGCACGATATTTTCCTGTTTCACTTGGGCTCATCTCATCGCTGGGCTTTCGTCCCTTGTTCACGGTGATCGGGCACAGCTTCCTCATGTAGTCGTGGTAGGAGACTTCGATGCCATACTTGGTCTTATAGATCTGTCCACCACAGTACTTGAGGGGCTGCTCCATGCTCAGGCGTTCCCACTTGCCAAAGTTGAAATCGCTTTGGAGGTGTTGGATCGCCTTCTTATACTTGTTGTTGTTGGGATCACCTGTGATCAGGATGTCGTCCACGTGGATCACCAGCATTCCGATCAGGATTGCCTTGCCCTTCACCTTCTCATACATCATAAAACAGCACTGGTCAAGGGGGTGATTCTTCCATCCACGGGATGTCAGCCGGCTTGAAGCTTCTCGATACCACATCAGTGGTGCGTCAGCGAGGCCGTATGCTGACTTCTTCAGCTTCATGTAGATGTGTCCTTCAGGTCCAATCTGATCGCCTCCAATCAACGGATTGCAGTCCTTCGGCAGCTTCACGATGATCACTCTGTCGAACCCGCTGCCAGACAGAAAGGCTGCCTTCACATCTCCGCAAATCAGCTCCCAACGGTTCCAGTTGGTGACGCTCAGCAGAAACAATCTTGCCAAGCGGCTTGTTGTTGGAGCCGCAGTCTTGATGTTCAGGAGGTCGGGATCTTCAAAACCTCTGAGGACGAGTCTCGCCTTCGCCTTGTAACGAGGTGGTTCTTCTGGCTTGTCCTCGTTGAGTCGTTTCCAGGTCAGCACCCATCTCGCGGTAATCACTCGATGGGTATTCACAGCTTTCTGGCTCTCCTGGTCTGTGGCAAACTCCCAGACCATGTTCTGAAAATATTGTTCCAGCTCTGTGCACTTTCCATTCACGAACTCCGCCTGCTCATCGGGTGTCAGGTTCCTCATGTTGACCTCTCCCTTGCGCAGGTTCTGCATCACATAGATCTCATCGAGCTCAAAGGATCCATCCACCAGCTTCCATCCTTCTGGCAGCTGTGCGCCCTCATTCGCCACCACGAAGACCTCGTCAATCACCAGTTCATCATCTGTTGGAACGGGGATAGCTTCTGGTGACACGGCTTCAGCTGTCGGTGATTCTGGTCCACGAGGATTCTTTGCTGGTCGTTCTTCAGCAAGGTCATGATCCTTTCTCTTTGGAGAGCTCTCAGCTTGTCGCTCCTGCTCTGGCTCAGCAGGTGCGGCTGTAGGAGCATCTGATGGGGGTCCATGAGGGAGTGCAGGTCCTCGTCGGGGAGATCTCTCTCGATCTTCTTGTCGTGGCCGAGGAAGAATCGCCTGCACAATTCCAGGCAAGATATTGTGCTGCATCTCTGGGTCCTGCTCCACGACATCATCTTCGTCCATTGCCTCTGGCTGATAGTCAGCCTCGAGATCATCATCCCAGTCCTGGTACTCCATGTCCTTGGGGTCGATGCCAGCACGCTTCATCTCGTCACGAAACTGGGTGGTCGATCTTGCCTTGAGTTCCTCTAGGTCTCGCATGGCTGCTGCACGGTCGATGGGCACGAAAGCTCCACTGTCTTCCACCAGTGGTCGAACTTGTTGAGGTGCACAGCGAACCAGTGAAGTTCCATGACACAACCAAAGGACTCTGGCGTCCCCATTGTCCTCAATTGCGACCACGCGTGCTGGTCCACGCCATCGTGCCTTTCTGAGGATTCCGGCTCCGGCGTTCCTCCAGTACCAGCATTGCTGACCAACCACCAAACTCTCTTTCTGCTCCTGAAACTTCTGGGTGAAAGCTCGACGAAGCTTGGCGTCTGAGTCGGCGGCAATGAAAGCCTTAGCTGCTGCAGCTCTTCTCTGTTGCACTTCTGCGAAGACACCTTGTTCATCGAGTGCATCTTGTCCTGGATTGAAGAGCTCGCCGGACAATCCATGCGCATGGGTCATCACTTTTCCAAATACCCATTGTTGTGGGCTGAATCCCTTGTGGAAGCTCAGCTGATTCACGGCATGGGGCACGTAGACTGCAGCTTCCTTGAGTGATGCCTTGTCGTGCTTGCCAACTTCATCTTGATATAGTTCCAGGCATCTTCTGATGACCTGATGCTTCCTCTCCACCACACCAAGCCAGGAGTGTTGTTCGGCAGGTTGTAGTTCCAGAGTGATTCCTCTTGAACTGGCCCACTCTCTCACATGCTTCGATGCCCAGCCTTTGGCTTCATCAATTCTCAGAATCTTCGGGATGCCAAAGTGTTTCAGCCAGCAGCGCTCCAAGCCCTTAGTGAACTCCTCTGCTTTCTCGCTGTTGAGGATCCTGATGGCGCAGTATCTGGTAGCATGGTCCACCACTGTCAACACACAACGCCTTCCCTGAGGAATCTTCTCTGCCTTCTCCTTGTCACGGCGTCGTGCTGCAGGAGTGCCCGGTGCGGGCAAGGCTGTCTTGACCACTGAGTCATCATTCAGGATCCAATGCGAGTCGACTTGGATGCGCTCGTTGAACTCTGTGCACTTCAAGGCTGAAGCAGGAGGTGGTTGCTTGGGTCCCTTGCGAGCATAACACAGGGGGCACAAGTACTTCTGAGCTGCTTCCAGAACATCGCCAGTAGCCTGCACTTCCTTCAGCATTCGGGTGAGAACCTCTGAGCCACAGTGACCGAGGTTCTTGTGCAGCCGCTGAACATATTCAACAGCTCGGCCTCCAACTTTAGCACGTAGTTCCCGATTGCTACGAATGGGCTCGGATTCAACCAGCTGTTTTTCTTCAGGCAGGTCCTTGTTGCATGCCTCGACATAGTCATCCACCACCTGAATGTCATCCTGGTTGTCCAAGTGTGCAAGGATGCTATTCACAAGAGCGGTGGCGAAGGGCTGCGTATAGTTCTCTGCAAGGGCTGTCCGTGCTCCAAGACCCAAAGCATAGCCCTCGAGATGCGTGTGCCAATGACCTCCACTGCATTCCTTCCACATGAGGTAGTGCACAATGGGACTTGTCGTTCGCAGGCATGTAGGTTTCTGAACTGGATTAATGGTTCCCGTGTCATCGGGCAGGATCAGACCATACTCGCACATGTCGATGCGGGTGTCATAGCCCTCCATCCTGCAGAAAGCTGGGGTCTGCCAGCTTGTAGCATGCCATGGGTGTTCAACCATCGCCAGGCGTCCTTCTTTTCGCTGTTTCTCATAGCTGACTGCCACGAAGGTGAGGTGTGTCTCATGATCTTCTTTCTGCTTTGCCTCCAGATTGGAGGCGTATGCAGGATTCTTTGCCTTGTTGAGCTCCTGCATTTGCGACCATAGCTTGCACATGGGGCTGTAGAGGATGGCGTCAGGCTTCTCATCTTCCTGCTTCTTGAAGAATGCTCGTCGGTGGGATGCTTGTGAGAAGTCCCAGCCATCTTCACGGGAAAATCTTGTAGCGGTGCAGTTCACCCGACGGTTGGCCGTTTTTGTCACTTTTCCTTCACCAGCGTAGACCTCCCAGATGGTGTAGGTCCTTGGTGGCATGTAATTCTCCAGGTCCTTGGCCCGGTAGATGTCCATGTCCAGCTCCTTCATAGCACTGACCGTCTCATAGTACAGCTTGTTCAGCTGTCCAGGGTGAAGCTTGTCCAATTCCTCATCGTCCAGGACATCGCGCTGCTCTCCAGTCTTCTGTGCGGGACTGGTCTCCATCTCGGTGATGTCAGGCGTTGTCTCTGGCGCTGAATTCTCCGCAATGATGCTCACTTCAGTCTCCATGAAAGCATCTGCGGGCACTTGCAAGACGGAGTGTAGTGGCACTTGCTCGAAGATGTGGGTGTCGAAATCCTCGGGCACAAAGACTTGGTCAGCCACTTTCTTCTCCTTCACCAGGTGGTAGTCCTCCACCAGGTGCACGATGAATTCGCCCTTCTGTCCCAGATTCGCCGGCTCAAACTTCAGTTCATCATCGTACGCGATGATCTTGGCACCATAATTGATGGTGATGTTGAAGCTTTCCAAAGCTGGCCTGCCCAGCAGGCATGGTGTTGAGCCTTCCATGACATACATCAGGATGTCCCTTCTTTTGTTCTTGAAGAAGGTCGGCACCAGGACACAGAGGGTCGTGGCATCGCGGTTGCCATTGCCGAAGCGCAATCCCTTCTCACACTTCCATGCAGGAATGGCTGCAATGTCGCAGCCTTTCATCAGCAGTGCCTTCATCAGCCGGCGAATTTGCTGCATGCCAATGATGACCGAAGCAGCTCCACAGTCAAACATGGCGGTGTCATCGGGCTCCGACTCTGTTCCATCCTCATCGAAGATGTTCACCTCCTCGATGTTGGAGTCCATGACCATGTGAATCTCGCTCTCAGGATCTGCCTCAGCCTTACGCTTATTCTGAGCTGCTGGGCAGTTTGCTGCCATGTGACCAGCACGTCCACATCGAAGACATTTTATGGCTCCGAGGGCAGCTTTTCCTCGTGCTTTGGCTAATGGCCGTGGCATCTGCTTGCTCTTTCCTTTGGACTTACCCTTCTTGCCTTTTCCCTTGCCAGCACCTCCCACATAGCCCTTCTGGTCGGGGATCATGGCGACGACGGGGTAGTAGCCTCGACTGACACGAAGCTGGTTCAACTTGGATCTGGCCTCCACGTAGTTGGCCATGATGTTATCATACTCTGAGGCTGCATCCATCGCCAGTAGGATGTCATCGTCCGCCTCATGGTGGATTGGCTCATCGTCGATCCATGGTGCTTGGCTCAATGAGTCATCAGGTCCAATTTCCCATGACTCTTCATCTTCATAGTAGGCGTCATCGGGCTCGGGGTCATAGCTCCAGGCATCCTCAGACACGGTGTAGATCGAGTCCTTCATCTTGTTGAAGCGGTGGTCTCGGCTCCCTGAAGCACCTTCGGGTGTCTGGTCTTGGCCGATGACAAAGTTCACCGCCTTTCTCACCGAGTCGAGGGACAGCGTTGAGGTCGTGATCGTGCTCATGATCAACTGACGTTGCTGTTGGGATAGTCCAGCACGTCGCAAGTAGTACCAGCCAATCACTTTCTCTGGGAGTTGAACTTCGTGGGCAGCAAGTCGTCGAAGCTGTCGCTCGAAGTTGGCCGTGTACTCTTGCATCGTTTCATTCCTCTTCCGCTGCATCTGGATGAAGAAGTTCTCGAAGTCTTGGGGAAGCTCAGTGATGGCGTCGTACTTGAACACAGCGTCCAACCGCGTGAGAATTTCTTTCATGCCTCTCTCGCTCTCCAAGACCTCCATGGTGAGATCCTCGCAGGCGTCCCACGCCCTGTTCTTCAGAGAGCTCATGACATTGAAGGCAGTTTCTGTCTTTCTTCCCGCAAGATCCATCTTGCGTTCATAGAGGAGCACTCTCTTGCGGTACTCTTTGTAGTCATTTGCTTTCCCACTGAACTCTGGAATGAGTTCATGCGCTTTGCCGGTGTAGGATGATGATCCACCGGTTCCATTGGCCGCAGCTGCGGCCGAAGCTCCAGAACTTGCCATAGGTGAAGTCCAGGATGAAGTGTCGAGATGTCGTGCGCTGGCCAGGGCGAAATCTTGATGTCAAAGTCCGGAATCGCTGTCGCCAGCTCCGCTACCAACAACAGGTAGTCAGGGTTGAAGGCACACAAAGTCCCAACCACTATGGCTTGACCGATCGGCACGACCGGATCCCGCAAGAAGCGGGGGTGAGGGAGGCGCAGCCACAAGGCTCTTTTTAGCTCGAGCAGCCCGCCGCTGCGGGTCATGAGTATGTGCATATCAAATGCCCTTCAAGTGTATGGAAACACTTCACAATGATAGATAATGCTAGATAAATAGATAATGATAGATAGATAGATAATGATCGTAATGATAGATAGATAGATAATGATAGATAGATAGATAGATAGATAGATAGATAGATAGATAGATAGAT